TGATAAAGTACAAATCGAGTTTGTATTTTCAAGGAAACAGCCTAAACATAGTATAACATCTTTTATTATTTGTCTTAATTATCAGATTTGGCTGGTCCTGACTTGTACTCATAAAGCTATACAGATTCAGTTATTCATTCTTATCAAAATAAGTTTGTTAATTTGATAAAAAAAATAATATTACAGGGGTATCATTTCGGGGGATAAATATACAGACATCTCAATAATATAACAAAGAATAAAGAAATGTTGGACACTGCTGCATTTATCTTTGGTGTAACGACTATCAAAATTATCTTGTAGATAATCTTTTAATTTTTGTTGAAGCTTAAGCCTCATTTCCCGTATTTCTTTTCTTTTTTTTTTTATATATATATACAAGCATATACATGCTAACATAAACAGATAAATTTCCAGCAATTTGATTTAAGATTTGTTTTCAATTTGTTGCAATTAAAAATAAATATTGAAACACACCGGCCTAATACATAATATTTTCTTCACTGGTAATTGTTATTAGGTTTTGCATCATATCGAAGAAGCAATTTGATAATATTGCTTATATACACAGTTATAGTAACAAAAAGAGAGATAAACAAAACAGTTGTAAAGATATTAAATAAAACACTAGTCAAATAAAAACAACTTAAAATACTGATAACAATAATATAAATATAGAAACTTATATTAGTGAATTGTACAGCACATAGAAAAAATGCTAGGATTGCGATTTGCACTGTTCGAAAGAGACTTTGGGGTGCAGATAGCGTCAACATTATTAACATCACCCTTTCCAACGGCAACCTCACTCCTCTCAGAGGTGTGCAGTCGTTGTAGATCTTCTAAACGTGACTTTAATTGTACAGGAGTAACAGAGTTTCTGGACTGCTGCTTTGCAAGTGGATGGACTGAAAATAAGTCATCATTTGCATTGGCATTTACATTTGCGTATTGCTTATCAAGTTCTTCACTGAGGACATCCATGACAGGTTCATTTTTGCAACTATTACTGGAAGCACTTGTGGTTGTACTTCTCAGCTCGGGATATGGCGAATGGGACTCATTGCTTTCTGGTGTGTACGGGTCCATATGCGAGCTCTCGACGTAGGTATTAAGATGCTGCGTGTCCATTTTATTGACTATTATATTGTCAGATAATACTACACTATTGGAAAACAACCTATAACGGTGTTCAGCGGGCTGCCTCTTCATCAGATTACGGCACATTGGGCAAATGGCACTCTCATGCGGAGCCTCATGCTCTGCACTGCAAGAGTCATGATTATACGCTTGTGAACACATACAAACATATATGTTGTCGGAATCAATTAAATTGATGCTAATGCTGGGATGTTTTGACGAGGCTTTTTCTCTAGTTTCATCGTCTCCAGCGCTTAAGGCAGTCTCTATCTTATTTGTATCGTGTCCGCTGGCGCTGTTTGCGAAGTCAGCTAAATGGCCTTCAGCAAATTCTAAGGGGCAGTCTTTTGATTTTCTTTCATGACTTAGAATTTTACCTTCTGTTATAACTTGACTATATAATTTGCTTATATAGGGACAAGTCGTGTATTTAACGGGTGATGTTAAGTTGTTGTTAGCATTTGTGTGTGTACAACTGCAATCACATGATCTATAAGTACCTTTGTTTGGCTTTAGACGAACAGTTAAGTAAATAGGCTACATGACAAGAAGAGAAGAAAAGAAATATTAGAATTATCAACATAAGTAAAATATTCTCAATGTGAAATAGTCAATTCCTTAAGAAGATCCCATTATCATATAAACACGCCACATAGTGACCAATTGCTTAGTATATAGCACAGTTTAGCATGGGTATATCGACCTCGAAATAGATAGAAAAACCCACATACTTATAAAGTATACATTTCCATAAAAATTAAAGCAATAGACTTACTATAAACAGGTAAATTTTCAATACATATAAAACTTAATTTACGTCATTACTTTTGGTTAAAAACTGTATACTAAATATCACAATAGATTGTTCATTTCACTGGCGAGTTATAAAATTACTCACTGACATATCAAAATTGTATGGTTAAGAGACTTTCAATTAAAAATTTAATTATTAATTGTAGTTTAAACGTATACGTATATCAGAGTGATACCTGATATACATATACATATATTACATGCAGAAAATCAAATCATATAACAGCATTATCAATAATAAGAGCAGTTATTCTTCTGCATACATGTGCAAATCCCATTATACTATTAACAAATTACGAAAAGTAATATAAGAACCTGCTATAACCTTTTACTCATATCAATGTTAAGATAATTAATCAAGTGAATGTACTTAAATCCTAAATTGTTCATTTAAGCTTGGCCTATAAAATGAAATGCAATTTTTACTCTCCAAAGTAATCTTTGAAGAATCTCTGAAGGCCTCAGTAGCCATTGCTTGATTTAAAGCTAATTTTAATTTTATGTTATGACAAACTACAGCTTAAACTGGTTCACATATTTAATTATCACTTAATATCGCTTAATTTTAATAGCATGTTTCTTACCTTATGATCGCCCATGCATACAGACTCTCCAATCATGTCATATTGCCAATCATCAGTGTCAATAATGTCTTTGACCTGTGGAGACATTAAGATACGATCGCACCATGATGGACACCTAGTTGACATATAATCGGTAGGCATTTCGGGATCTTCTTCAAAGGGATATGATGGAATGAAATTTATTGGATATTCAACCAAAAACTCCGCAAGTGGTGCCAGTTCCTTGTCAAACTCTTTCAACTAATGCACAAATCGAAATGGAAGTTAAGTTTGATAAATGTAGTTTGCCATATAAACGAATTTACCCATAACTCTTTAAATTTGAGTTGATGATCAGCGTGACTAAATTCTTTTTTGCCTACAGTAAGTATGTTGTTGCCATCCGTGTTTCGGTAGTTAATCTTAGTGCTTTCATTCTTTATACTTTGTAGACGATGCGCAGTTAAATTTGTGGTTAATTCCTAAGATAAAAAAAAATAATTCATAAAATATAATGAAGCTTTGTTAATAAACCTAACTTACTTTCACAACGCCCGCTGTGTCACATCTGAAATTAAAATCTCCAAACAAGAAAAAAGGGACGGAACCATTTTTGTCATCCAAGTGAAATCTAATTGATGATAAATTGATTTAATTAATTGAGAGATTTAGTATATTTTTGTTGTGACGCTCGAAAATATCTTTCATTTATATTATGTTTATACTTAGCATAATAAAAAGATACTTAATTGCACATCAACAAAACTTTTATTGTATATAAAAACGGCGATAAAATTGGGTTTATGCTTTCGCAGAAAATCAGAAAGATTGAGCTACAGAAGCTTAAGTTAACGCGTAAATATCTATTTGATCTTCGTAAATAAAATTGGAAAAAATGTAAAATACAAATTATAATTTATCTCAAAATATTAATATATTATATTTTTTGTTTAAGCAGTGTCTTTGTGAAAAATTATTCATAAATAATGTGGAGGTTAAAGTATTTTATTATTTACCTTTCAATAGTATGTATCAGTGCTCTTCTCCTTGTTTTGCAGTATACAGATGGAAAATCCTCGCATGCAGCCAAATTGGAGGCATCGTGAAAAAGATGTATATTGACTAGATCAATGGCTGTGCCATTAATTTCCCATCGTGTTCGCATAAATCCTTTTCGAGACCATTTACACTAGATTTAAATAAAACAAGTTAATCATAAACAAAACAAGTTAATCATTAATCAATAAAAATGAATGGAAAATTCATAAAACTTGTTTCAGAAAATGGTGTCTCTAAATTTTTGAGTTTTTTAATTGTGTCGTCTATTTCAATAACAATAATAATAATGGGTCAAGCTCAATAGACAACTACAAAAATTTACATTTACTTTAAAGAAAATTTTCATATTTTTATGTTGAAATCAAGCTCTTATTTGACGTCAAGAGCTATAAAATATCATGTTCCTTACTTAGGCTTGCTTAATCACCATCAATTCTCATTTATGAAAATTTATATTTATTTTAATTGCATTCAATATTTGCGATTTTGAGTTCTATTTTAGAAGAATTGTGTTCGTTCATATATATATATATATATAAATATTTTTTTTTTTAATTAAATATACTTACTTCAGGAAAAAAGTGCTGAGGAAACTTGGCTTTCTCCTTGGTAGGAACTGTTTCGATATTACCACAAAATATTTGCTTTTCATTGTCTAGTTGGTTATCATCCCAGCAATGTGTTAAAAAATTCCATATTCTTAAAGTAGATATATCCTTGTGGCCGAAGTAAATATTGCCAAGTGCCTGTTAGAAAAATTAAAAACTTTTAAAACAAAACGGTTGAACAAAATGTAAATCAACTCACTGTAAAATGCTCCGCTGACTTGAAGTCCTCATCCATATATATTCGGACGAATATAAATTCAGTCTTTGCCATTGCCTCGCACAAACGTCGGATAAATTCTTGTACATTTCCCATTGAATTTTCGTAAGTTTTTCCACCCACTTCTTGCAGATGTAGAGCTAAAAATCTGGGATTGATTTTTGTTACATTCCCGATGAACTCTTCCAGCCATATTGTGAGTAACCTTTGTGGCTGCGCAGTGTTGTGGTTCATGAAATAATTTGCATTCAAACTTATTTACATACATAAAAACATAAGCATATACATACGTGCTTTAGGATACAAATATGCACATAAGTACCAATATGTATTTATACAATAAATTATATGTACGTACATCTTCAAACAAACTTCCCACATTGGCTGTTACTAGCAATATCTTCGTATCTGAATCTGAATTGCCTTTTTTTGTTTCCATTTTATCTGATATTCCTTAAATTTATGTATCTTTTGGTTTGTTAAAGCAGAGAACAGTAGGGATGTAACAAAAAAACAATAATAATTCGATAGCTATTAAATTATCACTATTGTATCGCTATTATATCGATAAGTTTGAAATTTCGGATAGTCAAATGCACCATTTTTGAATATACATTTTTACATATTTGTGTTTGGAATTGATACATATATGGAAATGGAAACTTAAGGCTAAAATACACATAACTCAATTCGGTAATAAAGATACTTAACAAAAATGCTTAAATTAACAAAGAAATTGAAAAGCAAACCTTCTTGACTCAACAAATTATAATTTAAAATATTTTCTCAACAGCAGGGCAGCAATGCTTGAATCAAAATCTATGCAGCTCAATAAGAAGACATATAAAATATGAGATATATGACAATTTTCGCTTTGTATAATGTTACAAAATTCCTAAACAACGACATATGGCAAAATTTATTCATTATTTGTTTGATGACCACCAAAAATAAAATTAATTTAAAGATTTGTTTTAGGAAACTACAATAAATGTCTTATCTGTATATAATATTAAATTTAACGCGAAGGCCTCAGTACCCGGTGAACATTTTGGTTTTATTTTTTATTTATTAATAATTAAATATATTTACTATGCAACGACGTTAAGAAATTGAATCAAAAAGAAAATCATGAAATGACAAAACAAAAGTAATTTAATAATATTTATATCTGGTCATCCAAAGAGGCTATGCCGTAAATGTTAGCGTTAAAATATAAGTATTTTTATATAATTTTTGATTATTTATATAACGAAATACTATTAAAAACTAAAAAAAAAAAATTCCTAGACTCCGTTCTGGGTAAAAAAAATATGTTTCATTTCGCATGGTTCACAATTCGAAAGTACTAATAACTTGGATATATCGTGTACAATTATTCTCCTATTTATCGATATATGTGAATATCGTATATAAGTGTGATCTCGGAATTTTTGTGGCATCCCTATTTATAGTTACATTTTCTAAGCTGAAATGAAAATTGAGAGAGAACTGTATTTCGTATAGTTAAAGAAATTTACAATGGTTTCTATGCAATTTGTGTTGCAACCGCTTCCAGGGACTGATGAACAATTCATTGAAAGGTAAATCACTTTATTAATATTAATAAATAAATTAGTGCATTCATATGTACATAGTATTGATCATCCGCACATGTTAGACACATGTACATATCTATTAAACTCTAAAATATATATGTATATGAAAAACGTACATGTACGTACATGTACGTACATTTATTAGACAATATTGGCCTTTAATAAGTGTTCTATTATATGTCTGCATTCGAGTTTAAAGTATTACACATTTATACATAATCATCTTTGTGTGCAGATATAATATTTCCATACACATGCATGCATATATATAATTTATATGCATATTGGCATATAAAGATATATATATATATATATATATATATATATGTACATGTATATCTACGGGCCATAGGCAACAAATTGTGTATGTCTACGTTTGTAATACAGAGGTACTTCTTAATTGTTGCATTCTTATATTCAGCATACATATTCAAAAATGTCATTAAACGGGAAAATAAATGCAATCAAAAATTGTGTTCGGGCATTTTACTACAAAGGACTTGTGTGTGTACTTATACACCTATAAACTGCTTCCCTACAACATCTAAAGTGTTGAATTACCTATTGTGTGTGTTGTTTTTTTTTTTTTTTTTTTTATAAGAACATAAAGTTGCAAAAATTAGCTGAGCATTATACTAATGTTATTTTTGTCGGCATTTTTTTTCTCGAATGTGAAAGACAACTCTAGACAAAAAATATGCGCCATGTCTGTGGAATTCACGTGAATCACTGTAGGGTTTCCAGAACCTTACATATTTTAGATTTATAATCGTGTTTACTTATGAACGCAAAGAGGTTTAAATTTTAATATGACGATTGCACTATATCTTTAATAATATGTCTGTTGTACTTACGTGCAATACTGCAAGGTATCCAAAGCATTACATATTTTTAATTTTTCCTGTGAACCTAAATAAGTTAAGGTTTTAATGTAAGAATTGCACGATATGTTTAATAATACATATTTAATTTCCGTAAAATTTTTCATTAATTCAATTTAGAATACGAGAAGTCTCTGATAAAGTAAATCGATTCGGTTCCGGTACTCATAGAATATTTGAGCAATTGAAAATACCTGTAAGGGAGGTGGTAATTGGACCTAACCATATTGGAGTGCTTTTAGAAGATGGAAAAGCATTTCGGGTCGCCTTCTCCATAAATTCTGAAAAACTCGATTTGACCAAATCTGACAATAAATGGTAAATAATCCAATAATAATTTACTCGCAAGAATAATATTGGTAATGCTTCCTTAAAGTGCGCCTTCTGGTGGAGTAGCGGCAACAAATGCACCAAAGGCACCATCGTCCTCTCGGCCTATGGCTCGCTCTCGTGCACGGCTGCTTCGAGCAACAGGTAGGACAAGCTCAAGTGGTCAAGGCTCTGGATCAAGAAGTACAGGGGTAATAATTGGGGGCAGCTCGTCTAATCGACCCCTTGTAACGGTACCAGCCACATATGTGCCTGAAGAGCTTATTTCTCAAGCTGAAGTCGTATTGCAAGGGAAAAGTAGGAATCTCATTATTAGAGAACTTCAGGTTTGTTATCTCAAAGAAAGTACTTAATATTATTGCAAATATTCTTATATCCCGCTCTTTAAATTGTAGCGCACAAACCTTGACGTTAATTTAGCCGTGAACAATTTGCTTTCACGCGATGACGAGGAAGCTGAAGATACAGAAGAGGGAGGAGACAACTATGTGCCAGAGGATCTAATTTCATTATTAGATAATGGTTTTTCGGGTGACAATAATAGCGTCATTATTGATCCATCGGATGGACTTTTCTCAGAAGAAATATTTAGTAATTATTCAAGCATAAGAAAGTAAGTATTACCAGAACATTTAATAATATAGATGCCTATACTAAAAAAGGAATATCAAAACAAATTTAAATTACCTTTATCCTAGAAGTCCTAACCTACCCAGACCCCAGACCATTAAATAATATTTTGTTTTTATCGTATGCAGCCAATAATTGAAAATATTACAAACGTTTTGTCTGCTGTAACTTAGAGCCTTAAGCCGGCCATCTTAATATTAGCATACTTATAAAATCGTTTATTTTGTAGTCTTCTTTTTGATCGGATTCGTAGTGAACGGAACAGTGCCAGTTCAAGTGGCACAGATAATAATCAGTCCAATCGAACATCGGCTTCGTCTAGCGGTGTCATAGCAGGAAGTGCCAGCCTATCAGCTCAGATATCCTCGGCTAATGCTGATCGCGAAGCGTTTAGCCGATGGCGTGATCGTCAATACTACGGCCCACGTCGCTGGATAAGTAAGGATGATTACACATGGGATAAAGATACAGGTAAATATTCGACTAAAAATTAAATTGAAAAAAAAACCTACAATATTAAAATTTTATGTAGATCCAAAAAAAAAGGAACCGTCTTCCATACCTTCCCCGATATGGATATCAGAAGAACTACAACCTTGGCCCGACAAACCATCAACACGTTTTAAGACTATTGGAGCATTGTACTCTGAGTTTATTGCTCTGTCGGAAAATGGAGAACTGCATCAGTGGCGCTGGTCAGACTTGGAGCCGTACAAATCAGATGTAAGTACGGCATTTTATAAAAATTCAGCTGTGAATTTCGTATTTCGAATTTCAACCACTTAAGTAGGAATTCAAATTCTGCTGAATAGTGTTTTCTATCATGAGAAAAGTAGAGCGCAGATTTTGGACTCATTTTTAGAAATACATATGTATAACTATATGAGATCAATCAGATATAAGATCTGCTTATAACCAAGTTAATGGTTGTTTTTATTGGAATGCTTTATTAGATATATCGGAAAGTAAAACCTATTTTAATGCTTAAATCAACGTTTTATTGACTTTTTACAGACTGACAACGTTTATCATCCAAAGACCATGGCCCTTAACATTGGAGAAAAGGTGGAGCTAATATCAGCAAATTTCATTAGATGCTCCGTAGTGACTGAATCGAATCGAGTCGCTACTTGGATGGACGAACAGCTGGGATATCTTGGTGCTAAATTGGAGCATGCTGCTACCGCTTTTAATGAATTCAGCATGGACCCTATTGCAACAATACACGTTTGCTCACTATACACAGCAGTTAGGACCGAAAACAATAATATTTATTGGTGGGGAGTTCTTCCTTTCGATCAACGCCGCTACTTGTGGGATAAATTTCGAACAAAAAATAAGAAACCATTTAAAATGGTTGTCGCAGATATCAACGTAGGATCACAAGTGGTTATGAAGAAGTGTCCTATATACCAAACTGGCTCTATTGGCTTCACGTGCACCAATGGAGTGCCCAAAGTTGGACAGCTGTTAAACTCTGTGTGGGATTTCGCAGACGTTTGTCGCATGAAGATCTTAAATGTGGGCTCAGCTTCGGTGTCTGATAAGGCGCAGACTCTGGGAACGATTTCAAATGTCCATAGCGCTATTGCTGACAAGGATAGTTCCAAGACCACTCCCGCACAGCCATCAAGTTCTGGAAAGAGTGGACAAATAAGTTCGACAAGCAAGGAATCTACTGATCGCATCGACATGCCACCTCCACCTTCACCAGCATCTAGCACATGTAGTGATACCGGTAGTGTTACTTCACATAAACGTACCAAAAGAATGACAACTAAAGAAGATGGCAACAGTTGTCAAGAGGGAAGAAAAGACGAGGAGCTATGGCAGCTGAAAGATGTCGTATTCGTTGAGGATAAAGTGGGCCCTGTTGGAAAAGTGCTGAAGGTGGATGGGGATTACGTGGCAGTCCGATTCCCACCATTAACTTGCGTCAGTAGCGTTCCCGGACTAAATAGCAAAGATGAAGGAAAGGAGGATGACTGGCAGCAATGCCGCCTATTGCGACGCGAAGATGTCCAAGTTTTTCGAACAGCTGTTTCATCACGTGGACCGGATTGGCTACAAAAACAACCGAAGAAAATAAATATTGGTGCCGATCCCGCAAACGCTCAGCTGCTAACTATTGCTGTAGATACCCGTGGCATTCATGTGATTAAGAAGCTGTTCGGCAAGATACATTACAGTCTCTATAACCTGTACAACAGCAAGCAAGAACAAAACTGCCAATTCCCCACAGACTCTGCGTCATTTATAGGAGCGTCTGCCAACAACATTACAATGGCCTGCAATAATGATTGCAATGGCAACAGCAGTACGATTGTCCTGAGGGATGGCAACGGAGCGCTCTATCCACTGGCTAAAGACTGTCTTGGTTCCATAAAGGATCCCCAGTGGTTTGACTTACCACCTGTTAAATCGATTACTATGGCTACAATATCGCTACCGCCGTCAGCATCTTGCATCAATCTTAAGTCGAAAGTATGCATGACCGCTTTGCTTTTCGAAACACAGAAGTTTATGCCACACATACTGCGGTGCGATGTAAAGAACTGCATAGCTCTGCTGATGCGTCTCGAAAAGGAAGACCGCAAAGATATTCTTTCGGTTGTGGAAGAGCGTTGCGATGGTAATCGTAACATATTCCATGCCTGCGTTATCATGTGCGCACCCACATCAAACAAGGACTCACAAAACTTATCAGATTTCAACACTATTAGCTCCGATAAGAAGCCTGTCGCTTCTGGAGTTTCCATGCCACGTGCAGGACCTTCCTTGTCATATGGCACCGCATTTGGCAATGGAAGCAGCTTTAGCGAGAGCTCGAGCTTCGCTACAGTGCCTGGCATGGGCTCATCTTCAGCTTCTGCTTCATTAAGCAGGGAGAATCGAATAAGTCTGCGTGACATGATGAATCGACTGATCAACACCGAACAATCGGAGCAGAATCAAAATCACAGTCAGCAAGCAACGAGTGCAGGCGAAGATCATGCCTATGTTCCAATACCCTGGGCCCTTGACCCAGGGACAGCTAGCAACCTTAGCACAACCGGAGCTCAAAACGCGGCGGATACATCTGATGAAGATGTTTCCAAAGTGCTGCCTTCGTCATCTCAAAACATTGCGTCAAGCAGCAAATTGGGATCTCCAAACTATACATTCGACCTATTACAACGACGCGAGCAAGCCATTCTGATCCTTCAGCACATGTGCGCTAGTGTGGCACTGCGCCCTTACCTTTACCAAATGTTGAGCGCAAAGGATGCTCAGGGCCAAACTCCCTTTATGCTGGCCGTTTCATGTCGCGCCTACGAAGCTGGTATTATAATACTAAATACCATTCTCAGTGTTTCTGAGCAGGACACCCATCTGAAGGAGGCGATGATATTCCCCAGTGGGTCGCCGGCTGATCAGTCCCCTCTACACGTCATATGCTATAACGACACGTGCTCCTTCACCTGGACAGGTGCAGATCATATTAACCAAAATATATTTGAGTGCAAAACGTGCGGCCTAACTGGCTCTTTATGCTGCTGCACCGAATGCGCACGCGTTTGCCATAAGGGCCACGACTGTAAGCTTAAACGCACTGCACCAACGGCCTACTGCGACTGCTGGGAAAAATGCAAATGTAAGGCACTAATCGCAGGAAACCTTACCAAGCGCTTTGCGCTGCTCTGCAAGCTCGTTTCGTGCACTGATTTGGTTACCAAATTCAACTCAAAGGGAGAGTCCATATTGCTGTTCCTCATTCAAACGGTCGGACGGCAGATAGTTGAGCAAAGGCAATACCGCTTCAATGTAAGGGTCCGTAATGTGGGCAACACGGGAAATGCCAGTGGAAGCAGCACTGTTATCACCAATCGAAAATCTTCTTCGCTGGACATGGATAGCGACATGCCAGACCATGATCTGGAGCCGCCTAAATTTGCTAGGAAAGCTCTTGAGCGTCTTTTGATCGACTGGCAAGCGGTGCGCTCCATGATTATGAGCGGCGCAGATAGAAACGAAACAAATCTAAATCCACACGGTAACAGCAGCGAGGGAGGTAACTCTGAAAGCTTCAATGTTTTCATGCAATCTCAGCATGGCTCCACACTGCTCGACAAGTTCACGCACAGCCTGATAGTAAAATGCACAAGCGACCATCTGGATACTCTGCTGCTGACTCTTGTACGAGAACTGCAGAATTTCGCTGTCCCTGGCCGTTGCAAAGAAGCTGAGGAAGTAGCGAGACGTTTTGTGCGGTCTGTGGCGCGTGTATTTGTTATCTTCAATTTGGAGAAACAGCCAAACCCAGAGAAACGAAAGAGTCACACTTCGTGCAACAAATACGTTCAGAGTTGCGTGAAGGTGTTTCAGACACTTCACAAAATATCAATTGAGGAGCTGTGCGAGGTATCTGAGGCCCTAATTGCACCCGTAAGACTCGGTGTCGTGCGACCTACTGCTCCATTTACAATGTCTTCATCTAATCTGGATGTAAGTTCCCTTTATTGAGACACCGTCAATTTATCCACTGATCCTAACACTCAAATTGTTTTCTAGAACTCGGATGACTTGTTCAGTGTTGAGCCACTGGCGCCTTCCAATGTTGAAGCATCCGCTGAACAGATTGTCGTGCACGATGCCATCAATGTACAAAACCCCAACTTCAATGTGCAACAAAATTATGATGTGGTTGCAATGGACAGTAAGTATATATATATTTAATAACAAATGGATATATATTTATAACGACAAATTGTTTCTTAGGTCTTCGAGATCCATCGGAATCCGAAGAAATTCCCAATCGAGAATCTAATCTGAGCAACCATGACGATGACTTGATAGAGAATCAGCGCAATGAAGAAGGCATGCAGGATGATGAGAGTGATAACGATTTCACATTCAATGATGCTGAAACCGAATCTGATTCCGATGACAACCAGAGCAATCAAGACGCACAAAGGAGCGTGCAAACTGGAGCAACTGTTGGCTCGGAAACAGGTAAAATACGCTTTGAATCTATTTTCATTCCATACGTATGAAAATAGGTTTATTATGTATATTCTAATAGTACTCAAATAGACGTATTTGCAATCTTGAAGCTCTGTTCGCGAAATTAACCAAAAAGAAATTATCAATCGCTTTTGCTCTGAGCAAATGTCTGTAGTTCTTTCCTGTTCGAGTCTCTTTTAACGAAAATCATTTAGCAAGTAATACGATTTACGTTCGTTACGTACGTTAATTATACATACCAATACTAAGACTAACATTTAACTCTGCCAAACGGGAGGGGACAACTCAGAGCGGAAATAACTAAAAGGAGTTTCTGCCCGAACGCGAATGAACTCGTTAAAGGACCGATGCATTCGATTACTCTCTGACTTTTTTTTTAGAGTGGCACACTTATGTGCAGACATCGAAAACCTACATAATGATATATGATATCAGGGTGAAATCGGTACCTATGGCAGAGCCAATTTCTTTTACAAAATGTATTTTTCGACTTGAAGAGAGAACATAATTATAGAAGGAAATATGCTTAACTAATCTCATTTATTTTTATTGTATTGTATTGTATTTTATACAAGTAAACTGTCATTAATTAAATAATTTCTTTGTAGACATTGGTGTTCTATTTTTGGAAGATGAATCTGGGGACTCCTCGGCTCAAGAAGAAGACGGCTCTGAGGATGGCGAATCGGACGACCAATCTGATGAATTTAGTTTCAACGATCAGCAACTTGAGCGTCGAAACGTTAATCCTAATTCACGCAACGATCTCACTCCACAAACAATGCAATGGGCCATCAGAAGCCGTGATAATACTCGCTCCTCTGTGCGCGTCCCAACTGGTTCCAATTTAGTTTTTATTGATCCCATGGCGTTGCGTCGCTCTGCTGTGCCAGCCAGCACAGCTGTCAATACGCCAACTGCCGAGTCTCACACAATGGCCACGACTGCAAGCAATTTGGGCCGCGCTTTTGGTATTACTATACGACAAATATCAGAGCTTTTAGCTATTATGTCTTACAATATGACGAACGATATTGAGACTTCATTGAAGATTCGAATTGAGGAAGCGGTTGCCGTTCAAGTGAGTATCACATATATGATGATGACGGATAATGTCTATTATAGTTATCATAAATATTTATAATCAATAACTCTAATTATTATGCACAGGCTTTTGTTGAAAAAAGATTGAAGCCAACATGGGACTGGATGTTCACTGTTATGGATGGAACAGAGGCGCAGTTGAAGTTCGGCGCATATTTGACTAACTACACTGATCCAAATCATCCACTGCATCCGCTCAATCTTAGCGCACAAGCAACTACAAGCCAAGCTTCCACTTCGACTTCTACAAATGTTGGTGTAAATGTAATTGGTGAGTACAAGTTGAGATTATAGCTGAAACATTTTATAATTACCATTTCATTTGTAGGGTCAAGTTCTCGACGTGATTTCTTCACATATTGCCTGTCATTGATGCGTGCGCATACTTCAGAGCATCGAGATGCACTTCCCGTATTGGATATAACTGCGTTGCGCCACATTTCGTATGTGCTTGATGCATTCGTTTATTATATGCGCAATGATACCAGCTTTTATGATAAAAACGATATATCCGGACGAGTAAACAATTTATCAAACTGTATGGAAACAGATGACACGGATGATGAATTGAGCAACATTGAAAGCTCGAATGCCGATAGGCAATGTTCTGGCAACGCATCGGCTAACACGAATATTCGCAAATACGCATTCTTTACCAGGTCTGATTCGACCCTAAGTCTGGGTTGCTCTGCTCCGGACGGGTTTGACTTACCACTTGATATGGCCATGCCACTAGCAGATAAGCCACACCTTCTGCAACCAAATTCAAAACGCCAGGAACTGTTTGCCAATCTACCATTGCACGCAGTACCTACTGCTAAAAACAACACAGACAAAAGTAATACTTCCCATCAGGGATCTATTGACCAACCTCCAACTAGGTTAGGCTTCTCAAATTTTATGAAAGCTGATACGCCAGCAAATGAGAATGATGTCAGCCAGCGCATAACAGAATCTGAAAATAATGTTGAAACTATCGAAGTAAAAGAAGACAGCAGATCTTATAAGGACGACGACACTGGAGATTCAAATATTTACGTTCAGCTAAAGAAAAAACAGTGCTTGGATGATTCAAAATCACATAAAGGGTCTGAAGGTAAGTTTCCTTCTTCTGTTATATAATTATTATTATGCTTAATATGAAACTTTCACTTGTGTTCAATAGCTGCTAATTCGTACTCTAAAGATCATATTGATTCAGAGGATGTACAAATGATCGATGTTTCGGCGGGACCTAGTACATCAGCAGATATTTTAATAACAACTCGTCCAGAAGTTATTATTGCACCAAGCCAAAGTCGCATCAGGGATGAGGTGTCACCAATACAGAGCTCTTTATCAGTATCAGCAGTTCGTAGTGTTATTGTTCGAGCTGGAACATCGAATCTGAAGCTTGAATCCGACGACAATAGCTTACCCGAATGCAAAAACTCAACCGCTACTTCCACACCACACCATCTTAAATGTGATAATTGCCGGGAGAAGCTGCCATCGCAGACTGTTATGTTTCCCATCCGTGGCTCTTTGTTTTACAAGAGTAGCTCTTCTGAGTTGCCATCATGGAACTTCCTGCTGAGTCGGTGGAAATTGGCTCTTGATCTTTTCGGACGTGTTTTCATGGATGACGTGGGTATGGAACACGGATCTGTATTGCCAGAATTGAGAGGTTTCCCAGTGAAGGAAATGCGCTTTAGACGACATATGGAAAAACTGCGCAATGGACAACAGCGAGACTTAGTCCTCTGTAAGCTTGAGCGAAATAGGGAAAGCCTAATAATCCAAACCTTTAAGGAACTAAATGCTCAATTCGGCACACAAAATCGACGAGCTCAGCCACCTATAACATTTAACAGAGTTAAGGTGACATTTAAGGATGAGCCCGGTGAAGGTTCAGGAGTTGCTCGCAGTTTTTACACTTCCATTTCGGAAGCATTGCTCGCAAGCGCAAAAATGCCAAATCTCGATTCTGTGCAAGTGGGTGGTACACACAGCAAATATGGAGTACCTTTCTCGAGTATACTACGCAGCCGAACCGTATCCGGTTCAAGTCGTGATCCCCCCACATTGCAGCGACGTGGAACCGGCAGCAAAATATTGTGGCGTACAGCTCGAGAACGAAAAACATTAAATGTAGATGCTAGACCATATACTCCATCGTCTAGTGCAGGTAAAAATGCGACTTAAGAGAATTTTTATATACATTCTTTAATTCACTGTTTATTTAGATAATAACACGGCTGAGGGCTCGAACGACCATTTATCAGTTCACCTACAACAACTTGGCGAGCGTCTGTATCCCAAAGTAAGTAAATGATTGAGTAATCTTTAAATCAAAGCTATAATTTAAATATGTTTTCTAGATCCACTCAATAAACTCGGTGCACGCTGCAAAAATAACTGGCATGCTACTGGAAATACCCACTCCGCAGCTTCTATCAGTTCTGTCTTCTGATGAAACACTTCGGCAAAAAGTTAACGAGGCGGTTGAGATAATTAACTTTAAACTGAAATCGGAAATAAACATGCAGAACCAACAGAAAAAATCGCCATCTGCTGCAACTGAACCGATAGAAGACGATAATGAGCCATTATTTTACTCTCCGGGTAAACGTGGCTTTTATACTCCACGACAGGGTCTTGCGTCATTCGAACGTATTAATGCATTTAGAAATATTGGCAGGTTAGATCACAATTAATTTTGTTAGATATATGGGTTTATAATCTATTTATTTTATGCTGTTTTTAGACTTATTGGGCTTTGCCTTTTGCAAAATGAATTGCTCCCACTGTTCCTTCAAAGACATGTATTAAAATATGTGCTTGGTCGAAAAATTAAATTTCATGACCTCGCATTTTTTGATCCAGCCTTGTATGAATCATTTAGACAGATCATACAAAACGCCCAAACAAAGGAAGGAGAAGAAACCATCAACCGAATGGAGCTTACTTTTGTGTAAGTATCCAGTGGACCTTAATCTATAATTAATATACACGTATTAAAATTATGTTTTTCTATTTACCATAGCATTGATCTGATGAAAGAAGAAGGTTGTGGCAACCGTGAATTGATACCTGGCGGACGTGATATACCCGTAACGTCGAGTAACATACTTGAATATATTAGACGTTATACTGAATATAGGCTCATTAAGTCACAAGAGAAGGCTCTTGAGGTTAGACATACAAAACTCATTCTATTTCTGAATTCATTAACATATGTGTTTACAGGCTTTAAAGGATGGTATTTTTGATGTTTTACCGGACAACTGCATGAATAGCTTGACTGCGGAGGATCTACGTTTACTCTTGAATGGTGTCGGGGATATCAATGTTTCAACACTAATTTCATATACAACATTTAATGACGAATCGAGTGAAGGCCCTGACAAGCTATTGAAATTCAAAAGATGGTTCTGGAGTATTGTTGAGAAAATGAATACGCTAGAGCGCCAAGATCTGGTATGTTAATTAATTAATGTTAATTATCTTAGAAGATATTTGCTTAATTTATGGTTATTCCAGGTATATTTCTGGACAGGATCACCAGCTTTGCCAGCCTCAGAGGAAGGCTTCCAGCCCCTACCATCTGTCACTATTCGACCAGCAGATGACTCTCATCTTCCTACTGCAAACACTTGTATATCCCGACTGTATATTCCTCTCTATTCCAGCAAATCAATTTTACGTAGTAAAATGCTGATGGCCATTAAATCCAAAAATTTTGGATTCGTTTAAGCAAATAATTACCAATTTCTGGTTTACGTTATTTTTGCCGTATGTTTGCTTATGCGAATTGTTCTTATTTTTTTGGTATTTGATAAAAATTTTTAAATATGACTATTCCACATTTGTAACCAACCACACATATGTATGTATCTCCATTCCTTCAATTTGGTTCTGACATTATAAATATTGCAATAGTTCTGGTTTAAGATAACGTCTTTGAAGAGGAATTCATAAGGTCATTCATTCCTTCATACAGTTCGACTGGATAACAAACACTAAGGAAATGTTAAAATGAACAAAGATTAAGATGTAGGAGTTAGGTCAAGTTTGCTTTTATTATTACATTTATTTAAATGTAGGAAATGTAATAAACTACAATATATAAATATGTATATTAACCAGGGAATAAATCTATAATGGTAACCTAAATAAAAAAATTAACAAAAGTGTTTTATTTAAAAGCTTTTGGTGTATAAGTATAGTATGTCTATTACTTTTATTTTGTCACTTGTTATCAGATACGTGTAGACATGGGAATTTCCTAGAAACATGTCAACCTGAACAATACGCATATAGCAAGTAGTCCAACTTACATTACTACATTCGTTAACCAACAGTGAAACAAGCACTCAGTTATATCAGTGCGGGTCATGAATTACACATTCATGTCTGGCTGCAGTTGTTACACATTTTGTTGGTAACTTATCAGATGAGCGCAGTTATAAAACAAGTAAAATATTCTGCAATTAACGTACCTGGCTTGGATTCACCCAGTTTGTAACGCAGATTCCATTTTTATTGAGCTTTTCAAGAAATCATCTGACCTAGATTTTAATCAAACTTTTTGTATATTCAACAACAGATCCCCCAGGCAATATATTAGTTTCTTTTATTTTCAAAATGTAAGATTTTGATGGTTTTGTACTATTACTTTGAAATCAAAAAATTGTAATCACATATAAGAGGCATGGTAGCTTCAAAGCTTAATACTTTTCAGCATTTAAAAATATTGTGTAATCCAATTCCTAGGGTACTTTTTCCATATTCCAACTTACAAATCTTTGCATAAAGCAATGGTGAAAACTAATGTACTCACATCGTATTATATCTGCCTTCTGCAAGTAGACATATATAATGAACCGTTATTAAAGACCCTTGGTAGAAAAAAAATAAATTTTCTAAAAATTATAGTAATAGTTGTAAAATCCAGTCTACTATTGAAGGGCAGCAGAAAGAAATATTTGCATCCTGGCTTTGACCTACATTTGGGAAAATCTATTATGCCCAGAAGAGCTAATCGAATAGAGTCTAGATTCATGATCGTGATTATATTTCCTTCAAATCGTCTATCGCGAAACGAATCGTCTATGCGAGCCCCTAGCTAGATGTCTGTTTATGGTAATCATGAACATAAATATGCACAAGACTTCTTTTGCCAGCCGCATACTTTTGAGCAGCTGCAGTCGTTGCACTCCTGGGATATGCGCGCAGGGTATAAAGAGCGCAAATTAAAACGAATATATAATACAATGGAGCTTTTTCTTTTCTTTTGAGGCATAGTTGAAATATTTACGTTTTTCAATTAAGACTAATTTGTTCTACAAATTGGATAGTGAAAGTTTTGTAACTCGCGACAATTCCAAAAGAGTTCGAAGCGGCTACTGCACGTATCGAGCAATCTGACAAACACGTAGCGGGTATGCAGCGCTTTCTTGCATACTTAAGTGAGTCCGCACCGAAAACGAAATAATCATTTATACATGCCAATCCCTCAATTGCATGTATGTGTGTGTGTGTGCAGTATCGACCCCAAACTCTTACATCCGTGGTTTAAAACATACTACTCGCCATACGCAACGTTCATTTCAGTTTTGGTTACGACTCCACGCATTTCTTGGCTCTCAGTGCACAAAAAATTAAAAATGAAACGGAATTTCGTGATATTATTCGGGTTTGTGCTGTGCACAGGTGCATGGGATATATCCGCAGGGCAGGACACCTATACGGATGCATTGCAAAACTCACATAACACAGATCATGGTGTGTGAATCTTAGATAACTATGCCTAAAACAAACATTTTTAGAAAACACGAAAACGGTGAACTGTTTAAAAAACAAAAGTGAAAATCCCTTCTCTCCTCTCCTTCAGCTCAATTGTGGTTGAAAGTGAAATTGATGTATGAAAGTGCATTTGAAGTATCATAAAATGGTTTTAAACGACTTTCCATTATATGAATCAATGCTTACCGAAAATATGAAGGCTGATTAGACATATATCAAGGAGGAGGCCTAGGTCTAATACTACGATGTGCTTTGAAACAAGTTTATGTGAAAATAACATACATATACTATACATAAAACATATTTACTATTTTAAGTGTTCTTTATTTATTTGTTCGTTCTTTAATCATGATGAGCACGAATTAATCCTTCGTTTTAACGAAATGATATTGGTATTATACAATTTACATTTCATACTTTATACGGACTAATTTTTATATATTTGAAATATATGCTAATCTATTGTGTTTCCAATTTTTTCATAGATGGTCTTGGCGGAGGCTATCAGTATAACCCGCCACCAGATAATAGCTATTTGCCCCCAGATAATAGCTATTTGCCTCCAGCGCCAACACCGGCTCCAGTCTATGGTCCTCCGCCCGTCCCATTCTACAACTCCCCCCCGCCAGTGTACTATAAGCCCGCTCATCCTATACCATATCAGGCGCACGATTCAATTTTAGCAAAGCTTAAGTCTAAAATAAGTCTGCTAACTCTCGGCAAGATCGTCTTGAAACTCTTAATATTCAAGAAAATAGTCAAATTTATCGGCATCATTTGCTTGCTACTCGTTTTGCCCAAGCTGAAGCATATGTTCACCGATAATATGTCTATGGAAGACGAAATTAACAGCAAGCACGTGGAAACGGATAAGGGTAAGGCTTAAGGAATGAGAGTTCATTTAAATATACCTTTTAATAAATATCTTATTTCCAGAAAAACTTCAAAAACATATTGATAGTGTGTATGATTTTATAATGAGCTCCATTCAAGCCTTTGAGGAAGAAACTACATAACAGTTTGATAATAGTTTTAGATTTGTATCTGCAAGAGTATTATTTATTTATTTATTGTAAATTTGTTTTGTTTTTAAAAATGAAGTGCCTATTTATGTAAACAAATAAAAAAATTCAAGTTAAAATCTTATCTCGGGAATATTTTTTTCCTGCTTCAAGGGATCTATGTAACTAGAAGACCATTAAAAACCCAATCAAAATATCAAGACATAAAATATATAAACGTATTGTACGACAAAAATTTTATTAAACACAAAAAAAAAACACATGTAACAGATGTAGTTCAAGACAAATTGGTTGAAATAATACTTAATTTCTGTGAAATGAATGTTAATTTGTATGATGATTTTAATAATCATTTCGCCGATTTTAACGAATTAATTCTGTCAATATTTATATTTAAATTCCATGCGGAACAAGTATTGTATATTGACCTGTGCAATGTCATACACAATAAACTCATTGTACAACAACGAAGACTTTAACTTATCATCGGTGATGGGCTTTCCCAGAGGTATTTCAACTCCATCATCTCGAAAATGCGACTCTTTGGGATCGGGCATCGTGCGCCCATGGCCAAAGCAGCTGTGTTTGCCCTTGGGCAGCTCGGTTACATACTTGGCAGCCGTACATTCCATCATGTCGCCCAAGGCCACTTCGGACAGCATCATAAGACCTGTAGAGTTCTGCTGACTGGTGCAACAATAATTGGCCGACTTGGACACCATATCTGCAAAATAAATACCCTTGCCAAACATATAGCCTGTTGGTGGGGCTTCGGGTGGCGCAATTTTCAAGCCGTGAGACAAAATTCCCACAAAGTTTGTCAGACGCGAACCGTGCCAAAGCAATTTTCGATTATGTAGCTTCTTGAATGGCTTATAGCGACGAGCTTCACCTTGACGGGCTACCTTAAAGACGTCAATTATTTCCAGCTCGTATGAACTATGAGTAGATGCATGCGTATTCTGCACGTAATTTTTGAGTAGCTTAAACTCGTCGCTCTTTTTATCGATCGGCTCCAGTTGTGTTTTCAACTTTTCGTAATGCTTGTCTAATGGATTCTTTTCCTCCGAAGTATCTTCGTGCTTTATTAAATTGTAAGCAATCTCAATCTCAGACAACGAATCCAACATTTGCCTTAAACTCTCCACCTGCTCTATGGTTTCAATCAACGGTGGCGCATGGACTCCGAAGCTGTGAGGAATCAATGTGTAGAACCGATTAGTGGCATCAATAAATCTAGCATTGGACCCGCTTTGCTGAATCAACTCGTAAATTTCATTGACAACAGTATACGCTGACTGAATTTGCTTCAAGCTCAGTTTGCCCAATGGCATTTTTTCCATATCTATGTGAAATTCCATCATTGTTTTCTTCATAGTGTCGACATCGAATATAAGCTGTACTAATTTCTGAACCGCAGGATCCAGTTTAGATGGAATATTATCAAACTTCGATTGTTTTGATTCATCACCCGCATCGTATTGAACATCAATCGGATACATTCGACCCGGCATTTTGACAAAATTATTCCTGTTCCTAAAATCATTGCCTGTCTTATCTGCATACACATCGAAAAAGCATTGCTTAGCATCGATTAGTGAATGGAAATCCTCCAGTTTTGAGTTGCCAATGGTTGTGCCAATACGACCCCAAGACCGATAGACCCAATACCTATATATAACAATTAGGAAAGGTATTTTAGATACTTGTCTTGTAATGCAATAATTCAATAACTTACTTATTTTTCGTGTCGGCTTCCAAAAGTTGTAGTTTATAAAACGAATTTTTGTTTCGTTGTATGTCTGTTAAGCCAAGTACAACGTTATATTTATCGTCGCCTTTGACATAGACGTGCGCAACATTTTCCAGACCACTCCCGGGGTCAACTACCAGTCCATTCTTCATTTTAAGAGTAACCGACTTTGGTACCGACTTTGTGTAAATACTCTTTGACTTCGAGCTCTTTATTTCATCTTGAGGCAATCGAGCGGCTGGATCTGTTCCCCAGTCACAAAGGGTCATACTGCTTATAAAGTTGAGAGCGCCACTGCTGTCAGACTCGACGCAATCAAGGTACTTCATAGGAACTATGTGTATGCCAAGCTCCTTCGCTTTAGTTATACGAGAGCTCAACTTCTTTACTTCTTTTTCTGTGGAAATCACAGCAATGGTGCCGTCTGTGATCTTGCTGTCACACTTTCCTCCCAGCTTAGCAATTCGTTTTTTAATTTCCTCCTCTTCTTCCTTTAAGCCCACAACTGAGAATTTAAAGTTATATAGCGGTGGCTTTTCTCGTTTAACTTTAGGACTGCAATAAACACGAAAGCGATGTTTTCAAAACAAATATTTCAATACAGATGAATCAGACTAAGTATGTCTAATAAATATTCTTTTAAATTACATAAATATATTATGAACTAACTTTACGTAATTGAATGCTTAAAAACGTGCACAGACAAAAATTAAATTAATAAACAAACATACGTTTGTAAAACATGCAAAATTGTAAACATCATAATTGCCTGATTGCTTACCCATCAAGTTCATCTGGATTTTTCTTTATGGCAATGTCCTTAGCAATAGTTGCTGCACTTGGAGGAATGTATTGAATAATACGCGTTTCGGGCTTTTTTTTGTAGGAACTCAAAAAACTATACTCGGACTTCAATTCATCTGGGATTTTGCATGCAGTGCGTTTGGGCTCAGTTAATAGCTGCGTGCATTTGGTCCATTCAGATATATTTCCATTGCAAGAATAACCTGATTTGTTGAATATGAATTGAGTACTCTTGCACTCCGGACAGGGCTTTATAGCGCCAAAGGCCATTAGATCTGCTGCTTGATCTAGCAGCTTTTCCGAGTCACCAGGAATGGGCTCCTGTGTATTATATCTCAATAACTTTTCAATATCGTGCTTTTTCATTTCTTTCTTTATATTATCCCGATATTTAAACAGAACATCATTTTGTTTTTGTAGTTTCTTCATCTTTTCTTTTTCCTCGGCTTCTATATTTGGTTCCAGTTTTGGCTTCTTGACTTCAGGCATATCTTCAGATTTAATCGCTCTGTAAATTATTTATTTTAATACCAATTTCTTCCTAAACTACTAATATATATAATAACAAATAACGGTTTACTCACGGTAGAGTCTTTAAGACTAGTTCCTTATCCTCCTTTTTCAATGACTTATATCCGGGTAGATTTTCACCACTATCAAACCACCCGATATCGGCACGCATTTGGGCAAAGCACTCCAAATGATGCCAAACCTTTTGCCCGCCGTATTTCATTCCAACTTCAGTATCGTAAACGGTTTTTGACACCCTAATTTCGTCCTTGTTTATTTTTAACTCACAGCCACGACAGCCTGCGCGACTTGATTTTGAGTACTCAATACTAAAATCTTTAAGTGCGGCCTGTTCGGCCTTTGAACGTTTGCCCGATTTGCTGGCAACAACTACTGGTCCAGACCCTGAAAACGATGGATTGATTATAACTCTACTGTATCCCAAAACATTGAGTAAACCAACCAATCATTTCCTTAATTTCAGTTTGGTCTGCGAATCGCAAATTTTCAAAGTTCTTAATATCCCCCACAGAAGCCGGCTTTTGCTTCTTAAAAAAGCAATCCTTGTGAAACCAATTTGGCGTTTTCCCATCATGAAAGGCGGACTACAAATATGAAGATACAAATTGAAAAGTCAAATAAAATTACAATAGAGACGGAATATATTCACTTAAGCTATTCGATGGCTTGAATGTGTTATATGTATATTAATAATTAATAATGTTATAAGAGCGGCCATTCGAGTTGGATTTGTGTGATCGGCAATATCGCTTTCCCTGTGCGCTCTTCTCATATACTTCTCATGTCATGTGCAGATATGTACCTTAAACAAAGCCTCAAGTTGCCAATAGGATTTTCGGATCCAATAAACTAATTCCGTGCAAATACATATGTAAATATCAAGAATATAACGATTTTACCCTTACTTCGTCAATAAAGATTGTTATTAATTAATAAAACAATCGTCGATCGATCACCTCAAAATCGCAGTCAAATTATTGTTATTAAGTTGCCGGGTATATAGTCGACTAAAAATGTATTGACATGCATCGACATGTCAGTTGCTTGAATTTCGCCATCATTCCTATACGTACTACTACAAATGTAAATCGCTATTGATTCGGTACATAGTTTATCAAATATTGTTGCAATTCCTAACAAGTTAAATAGACTGATTTTATTGTACATTGTTATATTGTCTTAGTGGGTTATTACAAATTGCACTGCCAAACAACTTTACATGCATCAACTTACCTGCACCATCACAGCAATCCTTACAACATCCTTTGGAATGGGAGTTTTGCATCCTTTACAAGAAGCTCGACCTGTTTTTGAATATTCTACCATGTAGGGCAATTCGACATCCATCTTTCAAGTTTATTTTTGAAGTATAAGTAATGTATTTCGCTACAAGCAAATTTAACCGCTAAACCCTCTAATGAAACGCCAACTTTTATATCGATACATTTTATACAAATCTTACATCGATAAAAATAAATGAATGAACATAGTTTTCTTTTGAAACTACGGAATAAAACAATATCATAATATACGAGTATCGTATTGTATATATATTAAATCTTACAAACAAGACAAAATCATAGTTTTTAATATATAAATATATATATAAATTATAGAATATATAAATATATATTTCAAATAATAACATGATACGAATATGAGACTTGGGTTTTTACTTAAAGTAGTTAATGATTTAATTGTGGGTTTCTCAATAATGAGACCTACGTAAAATATATATTTACATATGTATATAGACACCAAAACATTACATACTTCGACAACTTAATTGCGTTACTTATTATTATGATGAGTAGCTACAAGTTAATTATAGAACCATAATTTTCTTACGAACGGTGACATTTTACTTCATAACTGAATTTATTTGTATTTATATTTTATATATTATATATATATATATTATTATTATTATAAAAATAGAATATTAATATAACAACGGCGTTTAATTTATTTTTTAATTCATGGACATTCCCTAATCCTATCATCGCTTAAAACAAATATATCGATGTATTGACTTATCGATGTATTTTTAGTGCAAGTATAAAAATCCAATATTTGGAAATTACTAAAGGGATTAGATTGTGTGTAGAAGTATTTGATTAAGTATTATACGTAATTTACGCAACAGTAAAATGACCGAAATATGTGAACCATTGACCCTGGCCAGAGGTTAGATTATTCTTTGCCCAGAAAATATCCACATTGATTCTAAATATAAATCAATTATTTTTCAGACGTCAAGAGGTCTATAGAGCTATTAGAAAAACTTCAGGCCAGCGGAGACTTTCCCACAACAAAATTGGCTGCACTACAAAAAGTTCTTAATTCTGATTTCTTGAACTCTGTTCGTGAAGTCTATGAACATGTTTATGAAACTGTTGATATACAGGGCTCACACGATGTTAGGGCGTCTGCAACAGCTAAAGCAACTGTGGCTGCCTTTGCTGCCAGCGAAGGCCATGCCCATCCTCGAGTCGTTGAATTGCCTAAAACTGAGGAAGGTATGTAAATAGGTGGTATGTTATCATCAACCAAGAGTTGTATGGATTGTGTAATGTCTTGTGTGTAAAATAATGATAAATTTGGGTGTGTAAATATGTTCACCAAAGATTCCTCATTTAGATGGGGATTGCACCAATTTTTACTAAATGATATAACTATCGTATCATATGTATGTATTAAATATTCGTAAGTCAGAACAAGCTCTGAGAATATGAAATGGAAGGAGAACAATATATATAAATGAGCATTTAAATGTTTTTTCTAATCTATTTTTGTTTCAGGATTGGGCTTCAATGTGATGGGAGGCAAGGAACAGAATTCTCCCATTTATATCTCTCGAATTATCCCAGGCGGTGTTGCTGATAGACATGGAGGATTAAAAAGAGGAGATCAGTTACTTTCCGTTAACGGAGTGGTAAGAAAACTATAACTAAAGAACTTTGCTTAGCTTAAAATATTTGTCAGCAACATACATATCTCTTCAAAGTTAATATGTCGATATTCAGATAAATTAAAAGACTATTATTTTAAATATTGTTTATGGGGGAGACTGACTAGAAGGTTTAGAAGTTTTAGCGTAGAAATAAAAGATGGCAAGTTCATTTGATCATACGATGGTAAAAATAATTTGAATAAATCTACTTTTTGTTCCTTTTATTAAAATTTGGTGTTGCTTAGCAGATACAAATATCCAACTATTTTTCAAGTCCGTTTATGTGTTTAAGTCATCATAAAATAAATAAACCTTTTATATATTTTACATTTCAGTCTGTTGAAGGCGAAAATCACGAGAGAGCGGTTGAATTATTAAAGCAAGCGATTGGCTCCGTAAAGCTTGTTGTACGCTATACGCCTAAAGTTCTTGAAGAAATGGAAATGCGTTTTGACAAACAACGTAATACCCGTCGTCGTCAATAAAATTTATAATTTATGCATTACCTTGACGAATATTACAATATGATTTATGAATCTCATATAAATGATAAAATTCGTTCGGCCATTACGAGAACTAATGCCTATTAATCCAAATGGAGTGAATGGATGTTTACGAGGATTTCTACAACATGGAATGCTTAGTCTTAGGTTATTCGCGTTAGTCTTCGCGAATATTTCGATGTAACGTTTCCCTTTTGAAGTACTTATTTTGGTGCCTAATATTTTATTCGTTGAAATACAAAATGTGGAAAGTATTTATTAAAAACAACTGCCATGCAACAACTCTACGATATTGTGAATCCAAAAACTGTAAGCTTCTCCGAGTTATATCCCGTCAGAAACGTACGCTAGTTACATCTATCTTGAATACTGACTAATGCAAGTAGGCAGAAAAGATTAACTTTTTAATGGAACAAACATTTAAAAATTCAGTGGAATAAAGTTTTTTGGTCAGAGTGCGTACACTGACGTTCCGTAGCGCATAATATCAACACTAAGTAATGCCGCTTACCAAAAGAAAAATGATATCTTCTTAGCGAATTACATATACAATATACTTAAATCGTTAAATAACCTATGTCGTTCAACGTATAACTTTAAATAAGCAAAAGTTTCACTTTTCGATTAAAATATATTATGCAAATACCAATGTCCACGAATCTAGCTAATGTCTCTCGTTTTGTATTGAAAACAATTCCATAATCAATAAACCTACTTTTAATAATCATAAATAAATACATTGCTTTGCTATCAATCGAAGTGATTATCGAATAATATCTAAACTGTATGTATGCACTAATAAGGCTATCAAAGACGCTGTCTTGAATATGAAAACCTTATTGTTACGGCATTGCCTAAACCACAATAGTACAGAATTTTCTGACGCTTCAGTTTACCATACGCTGTGTTCAGAATAAAATCTCTTATGTAAAATTTACGGGATTGTTGATGGAGCGATATTAAATTGTTTTGCCATGTAAATTTTTTTTGTTTTTTGTTTCATTGTCAATGGCTGAAATAATGTCACTAACCATAGAATACATACATATGTATACCGAACAAGTAATGTAAAGTGTTTCTTTTCCAGTGTTAGTGCCCATACTACTTCGTATTTGCTCGGCTCCTCACTTTTAGGTTCGGGCTATGAAAACATGGGAACAAAAAATCATTTCTCTGTGTTCTATGGTTAGTGATAATGTCTTGCTTTAGCGCGTTTGATAAGATCTATGTGTACGTCTATTTAACAAATAGCTTGTCTATACAAATCGACAAGCTAAACAAAAATGGTGTAAGAAGCGCAAAATTCAACATGTACAGCGACATAAGGGTGGCATAGCTGTTTGCAAAATACCACGGTAGTTTAACGAAAAAAAGCTTAAAGTTTCAATACGAATTATAAGAGGTTACAAAAATAGAATTTCAATGTAAAAATTGTGAAAATTTTTACAAATTACCTATTTTTTTTTTTCAAGGAGATCGAATCTTTCTGATTTATCGCGATTGTTGATTTAGCGGCGTACAAATTATCGAGATTTGACTGTATATTATATATAAAGCAAATTCGTTTCAATCAATATGAAGAGAGTTTTACCGAAACAGCATTACAACAACTAGTAGAACTACAAGGAACATCGTAGTAGAGATGTTGGCATCACTTTTTGAACAATATTGCGAATTGTGCCCTATTTTGCCGTATTTTTCACAGTTAAAATAGCGGCTGGAATAGCGGATATTTTCTTACAGAAGTTGTTCTTGAGCTCTTCTGAGGTCGTTGGCATTTTAAGAGAAACCTTTGCTTTTAACAAGAAAGTCAGGTGGCGTTAAATCAGGCGAACGCGGTGGCCTGTCAAAATCGCCATTTATCGACATCAAACGATGAGGAAACAATTGCTTCAAAAATCGATTGTGGCGCGAGCTGTGTGTGAGCATCGTCGTGTGGTGTGATTTCGTTCCGAAATTGTTCGTCATCTTCAGCCATTTCGATGACTCTTTGGGACCATAATACTCCCCGAAACTTGTCCGCAGGCACACTTTTGAATATTTCGTGCAAACGTTTAATGGCGTTCTTAGCAGGCGCACTTTTCACATTATTTTATTTTTTATACGCATGTTAAGTTTTCACAATTGACTTGTTTTGTTCAATGTAAATTTGAACAATTTGGGTAAGTTAGCGTGGCGTATACTGATTAATATGGACCGAAGCTTCCAAAGCTATATGTCGTGAAGCGACCTGACGTCTCTGTCAAAGGATTTAGGGCTGCCAGATGGCTCCCTCGAATATAGACAGAGCTATATTGGATTGATATCAGACAGTTACTAATAAATAAATAGCAAAATATTCCATTGAATATTTTTTAATATTAATAATTTGAATTTTAATATTCTAGAAATATTGTATGTATTCAATTTAATTTTCAGAAAATGATTAAGTTTAATTGATGCAAAATATTTTATATTACAAATCGTACTCTGATATTTTTACAACACTCGGAAAAGAATCGCGTTCTAAGGGCTACAATTAAAGGTCTGCACAACAATAACATTTCGGAGAAAACTTAGTTCGAGATGGGTAATCAATCTGGAATATACATGTATAGAGATAATTTCGGGCATTTCTGAAAACGCAGTACTAAAAGATGACAATATCAAATACATCTGGTAGACAAACCATGATCCATCTTCACTTTCTATGCTTGATGTTTATCCATTTTTTACGTGGATCTAGGCAAATAACCTAATAAATGCAAACTTTGAAAGTGATCTCTCTTTTAAGAATAACTCTATTCATATGCTATCGGTTTCTTAATACATTCATTAGTTAATAGAATTCAGAACATAACAGACTTTTTAATTTGAAGTGCGGTGTAATCTTTCCTAATCTTCTAATTTGCAGGAGGGCATACCCTTAATACAAGGAATGTTTTCCATTCAGCGAATAATATTTTACGAACGACAGTACTATCGATGTTTGAAGTACTATAAAATTGATGTATCGAATTTGCAACCTTGTTATTGCGAGTAAAAACATCTGTGTGTGAGAACAATAGCAAATGCAATATTTTGACTTTTTAGGCAATTTTATTTATTTTAAGTAGTAACAGTTAGTATTTTGAAATACATATAATGTTTACATGAACGTGAAAACAATTTCAATACTTAATTTATATATCTTAATTCCCACAACAAAAAAGATATTGGTACAATTAAGGTCATGGGAAGTATTGAAAAGGCTTGTATTTCCGGATTTCTTTGCCGCCTTTGCTCAGAAATGCATAGAACAGTTATACACATATATGGAGACCATGGACAACGATTATGTCTTGTCGAAAAAATCAATGGCTACTTGCCAATTACTGTAAGTGCATATACACAAATATGTATATGGATGTTGTCCGGCTCATGCAATAATTTTGTTTAGATATCTCCTACTGATCCATTACCAAAAACCATTTGTAAAACTTGTTTATATCGGGTGGAACAGCATTACACCCTGTTAATGAGACTCACACGTATGCGGGAAGAACGCAAACTCAAATTACTAGGCTACAAATCACAAAGGGAAGCAGTAAGTATAGTTCAATTCATACATTTTCTAAGACCTTAACGGGATGTTTTTTATTTGTTTGACAGGAAAACTTCTCAATATCTAGTGTCGAATGTTCCGATGACGACGAAGCAACATCCACAGGAACAAATAATACACCTGGCGCAGCTGCAAATCCCAGCCCTGATAAGTCTACAACTTCGATTCGGAGTAACAGAGACAGTACTAATTTAGAAAACGCAGGGACAAGCAGTACTCAATCCAATGTGACTACTGCTCCGATTACTTCAGAACATGACCCACAACAACTTTATCCAACGACTTAGAAGACTACTTTTTATTTATCTTTGTTTAACCTAACCAAGCACCATTTTCATATGTACGTATTATTGATAAATTAATATATATATATATATAATATCAATGTTGTGTGAACTTAGTTTTTTATGTACTTGCAGACTATATAATTTTGTCATAAATTGTATGTATATTACGTGTCTATATCATTATTTGCATTAGGGGTGGCACGCATTGAGTCGAAAAGACGTTTCTTTGTTTTTAGATTGTCGAATCTATTTAGCAATGGTAAGATATTATCAACCTACTTTTCACGTTGTCAGAGCCATTAAATAGGCGCTTTGTGTGAATCTGAAAATGGCTAGACAAATTAATCGTTGTGATGACTACAAGACCCGTTGGGTGTTGCTTTTGATGCTCTTGCCGTAGGCTTCATTATAACAAAAAAAAAAAAAACGATGAATGCCATGTAGAGATTTACTGATTGTAATTTAAGATCTTGCAGATGATATTGTCGGTTACATTGTCATTATTCAATTGCAAGTTGCCGAAGATTATAAATGATTGAATTCGCCTGCTTAAAATTTATCCTTTTTGCAGTCCAGGCTATACGCTTTATCCACTGGCGGCATATTAGAAGTATAATGCTCTGAATCTGTGTATATTGTAACTTATAATTATAGGACAACCGATAATCACATACATACTCTACGTTGAGCCAAAATTGCTTCCCAAACCCAGTAAACGCTGTACGAAAAATTACTTTAATCAGGTCTGTCATTTCGCTTTTACAGTCTTGATTTAATATCAGTGTACTATTTTTACAGCTCATACAGGTGCACTTAAGTGCTAAAAGTACTTAGCTTTTAAAATCAGAGGTTATCTCTTATTGATCGGCTAATTAAAAGTATATTTATTTACATATTTATAAAAAAAATTTAAAACTATTTATCTAAAATGGTTATGAATTATTCTTCTAAAATTCCATTGTATTGCTTCTCCGGATATGTTTGTAAAAATATTACATGAGACTTGAACAAAGAGTAATTTTGTCATTTATGATTTGTTTGTGTTTGTATTGTAGATTTAAGTACTTTTCCTGGAAAGGTGCCATATTTAGAGTTTTTAAGGTTTCTATTTACATTTATACTATTCATTATCTTTTGAAATTTTATTTTCATTTAAAATAAAAACAAATACTTTTAAGCTCGTCTTATTATTTCACGAAAATATAGAAAAAACAAAATCCCTAATTAAAAGCTATTGGTTACTAAATATGGACAATAATGTATGAGATTCTAGTCTGGGAAGCTTTAACTTAATAATATGATTGGGATGTGTACGTACAGCCCAATCACTATGTACTACCCATTCAATATGAACTACTAAAAAGACTATTCGCCACTAACAGAATATCACCTGAGACTTTTCCACAACTAGATTCGTTAACAGATTGTGTATTCAATGCTGCGCGAAGCGGTAACAGGAAATCGTTGTATACATTAGAGCTTAGCTGATAGCTTTCTATAGCCGAATAGATTGTTTTAAATAATGGTTGCTTATCGGAATGGAAATAGCCCCGATTACCGTGTATTAGCTTTATGCCTGATCGAGAAGAATTGCAAATACTCATGTACATACAGTGGTCGGGTCGATAGTTATATTCACATGGAATTATATATAGTTTGTCTGGGTGGTAATAAAAAAGAATATTTATAATATCTTGATCGCCCCACGTAATTCGTAGCTTAAATTCTTTATAAATAGGAAATACATGCTGCTCCCAATTGAATTGCCGCATGCGTGTTAGATTCATAAGCATGACTCCAGAGTTGACGCCAAGTCGTCCATAAAATGGATGGCGTGCAAATCGATTATACCATCCAATATTTTCATTTTCGTGCTCAGGCGCCAGAGCGGCGATTTGAGTTTCATTAAATTTTGCAAAATATTTCCATATATCCGTAATTGGAGATAAAAACAATATATCTGTATCAACATATAACAACGAATCAACATCCTTCAATAAAGACTAAAAATATAAGTTAATACAAATCATTATTATTAAATATTGACTTTTTAATCAAGTTTACTTACAGGTAAGAATAGGCGTTGGGCGGCGCAAGGCTTAAACAGATTTTTCCATTCTTTCGCACTTTGATTTGGAAATTTTAATGACAATAGTTCAAAGTCAAATTGCTGAGAAAGTGTATCGCGCCAGTCAGTCAGTTTCTCGCTTATTATATCAGTTAATGGAGCTTCCGTAAATATTATAAATTTAATATATTCCTGATAATAATTATAAAGTAGAGCTGACTTTATCATAACTAGCGTCTCTTGAGCGCGTTGGCCACAGGCGACTGCAACAATATGAAAGGTGTTTTTCTTATGGCGCCTATCAAAAGTTACATAGAAATGTTATTAATTTTTTAATTTTACTTTTAAAGAATTTAAAATACACATGCAAACCAATTTGCCAAAAATTAACATTGGTTATATTATTTAAGATATTAACAATAGCTTTTCCTATTAGCTACTAAAAGCGGACATCTCCGTTTGACAAACAGTTCTAATATAACCGAGGATGCCCGCTGTAGGGTGACTTCACATTATATATCTACATATCTAATATACCATACGTACGTACATTTCATTGGTTTCAGTGTCGGATTGGGCAGATGCTGCATGGTCCCAATTTGGACGCTCGTGAAATATGTACAAAATAGTAGTGAGGGCCACACAACTTAGAAAGCACATGTGGAAGTGCCGCTAAAATATACTCATGTTAGTCAAGCTTGTTACTATATAAGTTTATTGTTTACCATTTTGTTTCTGATATTGCTACATAGATACATTTATGCACGAATGTATGTATGTATGTATATTTGTACAAGTGTGTTTGTTTGGATATCATAAAGCAGAGCGCTGCCCAATATAGTGTGTATGTATATATTATTATTTGAAGCTATATATCAGAGAGCAGTAATGATTGATCGCATATTATATAGAAAAACATCAATTTATTTAGCATTACAAAATCAATATAAATATGTTTCATTGAAAAAAAGTAAATACTGTGTTGTGCTAGCCATGAACCAGTTCTTTTGAACTAAGTGATTCTTTTCTTGGAGTTCCAGCTGCTGGTCGCTGTTTAATCCATTTCCTTAGGGAATGCCCCAAATCCGTAAATCAAGATGAGCGCTCACATTTATTCACTGTCATATTTGTTTTTAGAAATATTAGTCTGTAAAAGAAATCATTGTAAAATATTTTTCTTTAGAAAGACAACACAAGTTTCTTTGGTTTTGGTATATTTTCTTAAAAACATCGAAATGAAGTAACAACAACAGAAAACGTTAAACAATAAACTATGTATATTCAGTTTAATTAATTTAAATAACGGGTGATGGAACTGAGCAGAAATTATCCAATTGCAAGTTTAAAGAGCAGTTGATAAAAATATAGATAGCATCGATATACATATGTATATTGAATAATTGTATTGTAGAAGCAATTCCACTTTTCAGATATCGATATGTTAACCATCACTTGTATGATTTGTGACTCATACTTCACTATTCCAATTACTAGTAACAAGTGTAGATTATTAGTAGAGCAATTTTTTGCCAAAATATAAATCAGGGATTTAATTTTGTATCTTTATTTTATACAACATGTCATACCAACAATGCGGAATGCCCGATCAGACGTTTCTTTGGGACGTATTTCAAAGGTATTTATATTAATAACATTTGGCAACGTACGTACGTACATATGTATGTATTTAAATTTATATTGTAAATATACACGTAGACCCATGCATATGTAGACACATACATATCTATGTAAATTCGCGAAAGCACTGTTATACAAGTGTCTGTTATATATTCCATCGATATAACTTTGTTTGTGCTTTTAGGGTCGATAAAGACAGGAGTGGACATATCTCTGCAGATGAACTACAGGTTGCTCTCTCCAATGGCACATGGTCAGCTTTTAATCCGGAAACAGTTCGGCTTATGATCGGAATGTTTGATCGCCAAAACAGGGGAACCGTATCTTTCGAGGATTTCGGAGCACTATGGAAATATGTAACTGATTGGCAAAATTGTTTTCGCTCGTTCGACCGGGACAATTCCGGCAACATTGACAAGCAAGAACTTAAAACTGCTCTAACTTCCTTCGGCTATCGTCTATCTGACAATCTTATTGAAATATTGCTCCGTAAATTCGATCGCTTTGGCAGAGGAACAATCCTTTTCGATGATTTCATCCAATGCTGTATTGTTCTATATGTAAGTATTTTATTTTATTCTGCTTTATAATAATGATAATATTTTGATGATATAAACTTAATTTATATTTATAATTAAAAACATACAAAATTTGTTATAATAGGTTTATTTTATATTATATTGATTTATAAACAGTAAAATTTAAGTGATTTTATTGAGAAATCTTATCTATTGGTAAAAGGTTTTAATACTATTTTCATTAGAATACCAGCTTTGAAAATATGGTTTGGAGAGAATTGTATAAACAAAAATAAAGAAGAACTAAACAAGTTTTAACTAGATAAGCTAACAAACTTATTAATAAACATTTTTATTTAATTGCAGACTTTGACTACAGCCTTCAAGCAACATGACACCGACATGGATGGCGTCATAACAATCCACTACGAACAGTTTTTAAGCATGGTTTTTTCACTTAAGATTTAATAATCAAATGTCAAATTTATACTATACAAAATGTAACTTTATATGTATACAAATATGTAAATAGCCTGGATGATCTACTTTTTAAAGAGCCAATATTTGTGAACTTGTTATCCCATCAAACTATAAATTTAAATAATTACTATCGTAAGCAACCTTGTTAGACATTTAAGCTTATATGTATGTATTATATTTGATATAATACTAAAATTAAAAATCTTTATTTCTTTATGTAAACTTAAAAACTCAGCATTGTTATTAAAATTTTTTGAAATTATATACATATTCAAATAATTTTAAATCAAGTATGGATAATTATACATTAGAACTGCAGAGCCAACAGAATTCCAAGTCTTACTTCTAGACGGTAATTGTCTTATGAAGATTAAGTTTTGTGATGATTCATTGATTATTGATTTTCTCAACTAATCCAATATTTAATTGGTGAGCTTTTCGCTACTTAAATGAACCTTTATATTCTAAATTTAAATAACAGTTTTGTTTGTGTCTCGATCAATACATCGAAACTTATTCTCCACACTTGCAAATATTCGATATAAAGGTAACCAAAGACCGGCCACTGTAGGGTTGATATCGATAAAAACGTAAATAATTTAAACTTTTGCAGTGGAACCGATGACTTGTAGTATTCTTGTTCAGAAGTAGCTTTGGAAGACAAACAAGGTTGTTTTGGATGATTGGCAAATGGTAAAATTTTATAATTATATAAGAAAGCAAGGAAAAAAAAAAAACTTTTAATATTAATGCTAGACTGAAGAGGGACACGCCAATGTTAACACGAACAACGTTACCCGTATAAAAATAGAGGGGTCGTGAATATAAGTAGTCAACTCAGATTCTCGCACAAATTTATATTGTTGAAAGATTTATAGATTTGTTATATTAGAAAATAATATCAATATTATATTGTATACTAATTTTTGAATCAGTTATTTTTATTACCAGGTAGAAGGAATATTTAAAAAAATTTTTTTTTAATGGAAACACTTTTTCATTACTTATGAGCAGTGGGAACAGTAAAAATAGGGTAGCCTCAACTACATATGTAGAATCATATCTTTGTTTGAGTAAACGAAGGAAATATTTATTGAAGTTTAACAATAACTAATACATATATACCATTTATCATATTCCAGGCTATCATGCTCATTATATTTTCCGGCTCGAATTTCCAACCACATTCAGTTTTGACGATATATATCGATATAAATATGTACAGTGACATTATTTTTTACCACTTGCAACCGGCAGAACAGTGTGCGTAGAAACGTGTCATGAAAAACGTGTTTCATTGCCAGACGTTTCACGAACTAGTTCAGTTCTTATGATTCTTTACCCATCTCATTTTGTTACAGTTAATTACTTTGTTTCGTCTGTAAAGAATGAAAAAAGTATATTGTCGGCATTCGTATCAGCAGAAATAAATTTGTCCTTTTAAGCAGGCCGCGTGTAATAAGCTAATTTTTTAAATTGTGTAACCTAAGAGTGCATTACCTTAATAAAATATTTCAGAAGCAAAGCAAAAATGTCTGAACTTCAATCATCATTGCTATTGAAGAAACAATTGGCAGGTATGTTACACATGTCTAATTATGAGCGTATGTAAGGAGTTATGCATGTACATATTATATATAGGGAAGAACAGCGGAAATTGTCATTTACAGGTATATGTACATATACGCACGCATGCCACGATGTACATACATACATTCATACATACTTATGCACATAAGGCATTAATTTAATTGGAGCACATTTCGTTGTCAACTAATTAATAGAAAAAAGTGCATAAACGTATATTTATGAACAAATATATATATTTATACCTAAGTATTTTAATGTATATGCAAAAATGTATATACCAGCTGCTGTATATATATAAATTTAAATATATATTTATATATATAGCATGTATACATAATTAACATATATACGTATATAAATATGCATGCATAGCGTCTTAACCAAATCTTCTCTGTTATCACCCTTTTGATTGTCTCTTGTTTCTTTGTTATTATTGGTGGTGAAGAATATTTTCTTGAATCATCACAATGACTATGTATGTGCCACAGCCAATGCACGATAAACGCATGTACATACGTACATATGTATGTACATTAGTTGGCATGTATCTATGTATATATAAGTAGCTTGGTAAATAGATAATTTGATGAATGATGTAAATAAGTTTCACAAAAAATAATTGATTTTAAAGTTAGATATATATACATATATGCAAAAATAAGATATCTTCCTCTGCAATGAATACAAATATTTGTATAAGCATATATTTTACAATATATAAAAGTATATTTAATTTATAAATTAATGTCTACTTATTTCAAAAGACTAAAAAAAATTCAACCTTTATTCATTCTTTCATGATATGCTAAATTTTGGCTATGTAACAAGAATGTTAATACATATTCGTACATAGATGAATATTATTTTACATTTATTCACATCCAATTTCAAAGAGTTTTTAAGATTTGTTGAGTCGTTCACGAAGTCTTTAAAACACATTTTTTATCTTGATTGCTCATCGATATTAAGATCTGAATCGATAATTTCATATATGAGTGATGTACGGTACAAACTAAGTTCACAGCTTAAATGCTGTCCCTGGAGCTGGGCTTATTCTTGCTGCACAGATCGGCCTAATGTTTGCTGATAATAATGTATTCGTTTCAGTAATTTTAGATTGTTCAGCTACTACAAACGAAATTTTGCAAGTCACTGAATTTATAATGTATAGATATATAACTGTACTGCTAAGCAATATTTATCTATGTACAATAAAATTCAATTCAAAATTTTTTGGCTCTGAGAGATATACATAAAGCTTAGTAAGGAGAATAATATGTTGATAAGAGATTTATGTGGTCGACTAAAAAACAAAGCAATTATCATTATATATTCTATATTTTTTAAGACAATAGAAAATTTCTTTTGTGAAAATTATTAAAATATAATTAATTACAAGATATAGTACGATTTTATAAAAGTCTTTTAAACTATTATTATAATAAATTTTTAATCTACAAAATATATATATATATACAATTGTTTAATATAATATATTACGTTAGCTGTTAAAATATAGTATACTTGCTTTAGGAAATGTGAATAATTTTATAATCTAAGATCTATATATAAAATACATCGTTATATACGTTTAATGAGTATATAATAATATAATATATAATATATAATAATATACATATATTTTAACATTACAAAATTCTTATTTTTCCTTTATTTCAGAACTAAATAAGAACCCAGTAGAAGGTTTCTCAGCTGGATTAATTGATGAGAATGATATATTTCGTTGGGAAGTCCTAATAATTGGACCACCAGACACACTTTAGTAGGTTTATTACAGTAAATATATTTAAATAACATAAAATTAATATATTAAATTCGATCCGATCCCATAAAGTAAATATTGTTTATATATTAATAACTATATGATCCTCGTGTGCTTACAAATTAAGCCAATGATAGACTGAAAATAGAATTCATAATTGAAACTCGTTGTAATCGAAAGAGTCAGAGCTGCATATTTTTTTGTTTTGGGGATTTTCATTAATTAATTTATTTCATTTTCAATTTTGCTTGGATTAGTTGACTGCGTACAACCTTCCTCTTTAGTGGCGCCAGGAAAAGTCTGCAGTCCCATTTGCAATGGTGCGTACTCTAAGTGGGTTCAATGCAAACCCTGTTAACCCTGTACCTAAAGCTTTAAACCGCCACACCATCCACTACTCTGATGCATTGCCATGAAGAAAGTGAACATATATTCTCTGACATCTTCTGTCATTTATTTAGAAAAAAAACTTTTTAGTTGTAAACTTGTAAACTTTTACATAATTTCACGTTAAAATGCTGGAAAGCAGAGCCTTGGTGTACTTTTATTTTAATTATTTTTAATTAAATTTGGATTTATAAGTTTGTAGCTCCACGACTAAGAGCTAAGAATGTAGAAATATTTTCAGTCCTCAAATCAAAGGAACCTATTTAATTTGGAAAAATTGAAGTGTAATTGATTGAGCTCTTGGGTTCCTTAGAAATTATTAAATATATAGCGTTTACATATTTAGATTTATGATTCCACCTACACTGACTAATAAATGTCAGATTGATTTATATAAAACTAATTTATATAAAAAATTTTATTGAATCATACAAACTACTTTTAGCTAGTTGCTGGTGGCATTTTATAAAAGTGTCTGACTTAACGTCAAATTAAAATAGATTTTTTTTTTTAATATAAATATTTTTTATAGGGCTGACAATTTTTCAGGCTAACCTCGTATATAATTTATGCATGTGACAAAAATTTTTCTATGCATCAACCTCATTGAAAATGGTGTAAAATAATGGTATGATATGGTACAATCAAATAATTTGTTAATAAATTAGTAATAAAGTAAATATATCCTTTGTATCAACGTCCATGTCGAGTCCATCCCATATGAAACTGCCGATTTCGATACCTTTCGAAGCGAGAAACTTTGCCTTCGTGTATTTCGTATAATTTATCTGAATCAATTCTTCCACCTTGCTTTGCTACCTTTCTCACTTTCTTCATAAAATCGGGAAATTATATTTAAAATTATAATTATATATGTATACGAAAGTGTGTATATACATATATCAAATACCATATCTCTATCATGATTAAGTTTAACTGTAAAGCGCAAAAAATTATATGAAAGGGATCGCGTTTAATTGATTGTATTTAGCATTTAGACATTTCTTAAATAAAAACTATAATATTTCTTTGAAATTTCCATATATTATGCTCTAACTATCAATAAAATAGGTTTAATAATTTGTTGTATTGAGGTCATATAATATAGAAATATGTCTCACTTTATTATCCTTCTCGTTCTGTTTGAAAGCTAAGATATTGAAGGTTGTATTGAGTGTCCTGGCTTTCATCTAGGTTAGGTTTTATAAATTATAATAGTCGGAAGCAATGTAAGTGCGCAAACTTGGCTCAGTTTGTCTGGTATTAATACTTTCTGAATAATATTTTTTGTCTATTGTGGCAAATGCTAAGCGGCGTGGATGCGTTCAAAAACTTAAATCCTAACTTATCATTTCCCTATATGTTATTATATACAATAGATTTATTAACGTATTTGCTTTCCTTTTTATGTTTCATTAACAGCGAAGGAGGTTTCTTCAAAGCGCATTTATACTTTCCTAAGGAGTACCCTCTGCGTCCACCTCGAATGAAGTTTGTTACAGAAATTTGGCATCCAAATATTGAAAAAAATGGCGATGTCTGTATTTCAATTTTGCATGAACCTGGAGATGATAAATGGGGCTACGAAAAAGCATCAGAGCGTTGGTTGCCGGTACACACAGTGGAAACTATTTTGATATCCGTGATATCAATGTTAGCGGATCCCAATGACGAGTCCCCAGCAAACGTTGATGCTGCCAAGGAATGGAGAGAATCCTACCCCGATTTCAAGCGCAAGGTGGCACGTTGTGTCCGGAAAAGCCAAGAGGAGTGTTCGTAGAAACAGGATTTGCTCTATATTTGTATATTTATATTAAAAATTTGATACATTAAAATGAATAACTGAATTAATAGACATATAAACTCAAATTCTTATATTGAAAAATGTATTTTAGACGTTATATGAGCTAAAGGGGAAAAAGCTAATCGTAAATATCTAATCCCTCAATCCAACAACACCCAAAAATGGAAAAAAAAAATATATTTGAATCAGTCATGCGATCAGATTAAGTCGACAGCATATGGGTCATTCTGCCATCTCATACTTCTCAATGAAGGAATTTGGGCAGTTATTGTGATGAATCATAGTCAGCTCTCACAGACGATAGAGCAGTAGAAGGTGATATACGTCCTTGAGGAGTTGAAATGGTGATAATAGTAGAGGCGATTCGCGTTTTCCAAAAAAAAAAAAGTAAGAAGGCAACAGTCGAGACTGCTCGACTAGAAGATACCCTGAACCCTCTAAGCTGATATTCTAATAATTCTGCACTTCTATGCACACATACATACATACATATGCATCCAAACGCACGCATAAGCCTGCTCTCTGCTAACTGCGCAGTAAGCAGCGACTGCGCTTGGGCTGCGCTGCAGTGAGCAATATTATGAGAATTTATTTGTTGAATAATTTCTTTTGTAGACATACAAATGATTGTTTCATTATGAAATGAAACTTTCAAAACATAATCATATGGTGAAAATGTGTGTATATTCCAAAGCACAAGTCTCTAGTACTTGAAATGCGTTTTTTACAAATTAGGGTCGAAGGGGGCGTGGTATCCAAAATCTGTAAATTACAAAATCTTTGTATCCATTAACTTTATATACAACGCAAATTTGAAGACTACAGGTCTAAAAGTGTTCAAATTAGGCTAAAAAAACAAAATCAATTTTTATCGAAAAAATAAAGCAAACTCGTACTGCGTATGGTATACACGAGTATGCATGCCAAATTTCAGCTTTCTAGCTCTTATAAGTCCTGAGATCGACGCACTCATACGGACGGACAGACGGACAGGGCTATATCGACTCAGCTCGTCGTGCTGATCAAGAATATATATACTTTATGGGGTCTGCGATGACTCCTTCTGCCCGTTACATACTTTTTCACAAAACCATTACACCCTGATTTTCAATGGGTTCAGGGTATAAAAATGTTGATTCGAAGCCTGGCGAGATATATTTTATACTAAATTGATATATCACAGCTCATATATTCTAAGATGCCCACATCTCATAGTCTTGAGATGTTCTCGTTACGTTCACTAAATCAGGGTGGGGAAATAGCTGTCCTGTCAATTTTACATTGAAAAAATATAATTCAACGAATAGCAAACACTAAGTCGCAAAGGTAATTTAATATTTTACTACTAACTTTTTCAGATTTATAATTGAATGAAAATGGATTATAAAAACAATTATAAGCTTTATTTTTTGTTATCCGGAAAATTTGGTAAACCTGCCAACAAAGGGAGTGTACTTTCAACAACAACAACAGTGTTAATAATAAATTGAATTCCGCCTGAACCTTTGCAGTTTTAATTCAAGTGTGTTTTTATTATCGAATATGTCAATATTCATCGATAACGGAATCGACTTTTGATTTGCTTGCATTCGAGTGTGGTCGGCAGCCAATATGGATGGAGTGTTTGGGAAGGGAAAATCGTAAAGCCTGAAATAAAAAGTGTTTGGAATACGTATTTTTGCTTCGATTTAACATTATGCTTTTGTTTGGCGACTAACTAACTCTAGTTAGTGGTTTGCCTAAATGAAATACAAAAATTATGAGTGGATATTACATTCGATTTAATCTAAGCCAAATATACATATGTACATACATACATGCGTATGCGTGCTTACACAAAGTTGAAGTTGCGTATGTGTACATAAACATGCATACGTGTATGTAAATTTTTGTTTGTTTGTTTTTAATCAGCCACTCAGGTTAACTAAGTACATAGTATCTGTCAAACACTGATTATAAACATTAAGTCCATATGTACATATATACATATATATGTATATACATATATGTATATATACATTTATTTATACGTATATTTGTTTGTAGATGTATAAATATATATTTATATATACATATGTAGGTGTTTACATTTGTATTTTTCTACCCAAAGGTGATGAATCTTTGAGGGTACACACAAATATTAAAGATTTCAGTTGCTCGTGCGCTGCAGCTGCTCACAGTTCGCTTTTGACGAGTTAAAGCTTTAAAAGCTACTGTCTCCAGCTTAAAAATTACTTTTAATGTAAAGCTTAACTAGACAACGCGATTCCTTTTAGTCTTTGTTCAGATTTTACCGCGTATTGTATTTTTTTTTGGATTACCGTGATTAATATAATAAATTTTATTAAAGTGACAAAATTCGTTAAAGTCAGAGTCGTAAAACAAGTTCAACTGGCTTATAGTTTACATAGTATGTATTTGCGGTTTAGAATAAGTGTAGCAATAACTAATGTGCATATTAAACTGTATCTGTTTACTGAAGTACATACATATATATGCTATAAATAAATATAAAAAAGCTTATATGCTTCACATATATCCTTGTACATGTATCCTTATGGTCAAATTAAGTGCCGCACATGTGCAGTGTCTCATACAAACATACATATTTTTGGTAACTGTCTATCAATAAGAGCAGATATATATGTACATATGTATGTATGTGTAATCGTGTAACAACTGTAATGTATATAAGTATGTACCGTAAGTACTGAAACGATTAAAATAGTGACCTGTTCGTGAGTTCGCGGCCAGCAGCATTCCATCCTGGCTATACGATATGTATGTTTGTCTGTGCTTACTTACATAAATATGTAAATATCATGAATGCACATGGAGAAATAAATTAATACACCAAAATCGTTAACATATTGCTGCTATCGCATGCACTTTTTAGCCAATATGAACGCTATTTGGAAAATTGTGCGAACGTTTGTTTTGATTGACAATCCGTCACATGCGTGAGGGGCTGAACGTAGGTCTCATTCATGTGCATATGTATGTATGTATGATGTTCGAATATGTTAATATGTGTAGGCTTGTTCAACTGGTGAGCTTTTGTCTTGTATGTTTGTATGTTTACAAATGTTTGTATGTAGTTAGTTGTTAATAATAATGCCAAATGTTGCTTAATACTGGTAAATTACCCTTTTACGCATTTGCGTGAATACATTTTCGATAATTGATTAGTAATGTTAAAAATAGATTGACAGGATACACATTCTATATGTATGCATGTTTAAAGTATTAATAGGATTAGCATATATGTATGTGTATATGTATACATATACTTTCAAATATACATACATATGCATTAATTTGTACCAAATCGCAAGAAAAGGACATTTTTTCGCTTAAAAAATACCGTTTGTGTTATTTTTAATTTAATTCTGAAAGTGTTAAGAAGTTAATGCCAAACCAGTATAAATATTTTTTTAATTTATTTTCGGACAATGCGTTTAATAAATTAAAGTAATTTGTATAAAACATATTAAAGTTTTATTATATTCAATATTATGTATTATAATATTATTAAGACAAAACAAATATATAAAAAAGTGAAATTAATTGATTAAATGAGCAAAACTATTTCAAAGTAAATACAGACATGCATATGAAGTTCTACTGAAAGTGGTATGTATATATGTATGTGCATATTAATATATATCAATCGCACAATCAGTAAAACTTTAAGCACTTCTATTTGTAGAAATGTGTATGCACGAGTAGCTTAAGAATAGTAAGAGATCTATTTATTTTTACAATGCAAAAAAAGTTCCTTGATTCATGAAAAAGCATAATTTTAGCAAGTGTTTACTTGGAATTTCAGTTATGTGAGCAAGCAACATACTAAAAAAAAATATATATATATAAACATATATATTCTTGGAATTTTTGCTTAAAACATCTGCACAATCCATTGATAAAGTTTTTTGAGTGCTTTAACAAGGCGTGTAATTTAGTGCTTCAAATTAAAATCAATTTTGTAAACAAACAAAGTAGAGAACCCGCATCACTATACAATAAATAATTGAGGATAGATATATTTGATGATAGATTTATTTGAATTGGTTTCAGAGTATGTCAGAGTATGTCCAGAGTATGTCAGACTGATATATTATTATATAATACTACACTAACTTACGCATCCAAAGAGACTTAAATTAAGGGTATTGACATGGGTTGAATTTACGATCTATTATTGGCTTTACAATAGAAATGATAATCGGGTTTCCTTATTTCCATCTTATCGGCTCGTCAACCAAAACGAATACATATGTGTTAGGTATATGTACTATATTCGTTATTCAGACTCGGCCGGTGTTCATATTAATCATAAGTAGTAGCAATATGTGCTTGGAGTCAATATATATAATTTAAATAAAACATTGAGTTTTCTGTATTTGTCTTGAGTCTGTCTCAATATATCACAATTCGTGACAAAATTGAAATTCTTTTTACTTGTTTGACCTATTGTTCCCATGGCATTGTTTTTGTCGATGCTCACAAATAAACAAAATATGTGTACAAAACATACATATTTGTACATAGAATATATATATGTAAATGACAAAGTTTATATAAATACCCAACGTTTTATTTATTTGCATTTGTTGTGCTGATAACGTATACTTATAAATATACATATGTATGTATATATATTTGTGTGTGAGTGTATGAGTACATATGTATATTGTATTGCACATGAATGTTTGTATCTTTGTGTAAAATCTACGGCAATCTGGGGGTCAAAACTAATGTATTAATTAGTTTCTAATTTACATACTATATATAAAAGAATACATTTACTACATGATCTCTATGTCTTTGTTCTAATATAAAATGGAAACAAGCCGCTCTTAAGAAACAATATGTGACAATTAGAAGCTATTTGGTAATTCTATTTTCAGATACGAATCTAGAAATTGTAGGAAAAACAAAGCTTGATTTCTGTTGATTAAATTCAGCTGACCAGTATAATATATTAGGCCTCGTTAAACTCATATTAACGCAGGCAGTATGTATTTATTGAAATTGCATATGAGTAATTAAATATATGTACATATATAAATATTTCTTATAATTTATATAAAATTTTCAATATTGTATTTGTCGATAAGGCGCACAACCACTTATAAATATGATTTATATAAAGTACAAAGGAATTAGAGTGGATCCGAATCTAATAAAAATGGGGCAGTTGATGTACGCTTATATTGAGTAGATTCGAGCAAATGTCGAAATGTCCATTGGAATGCACATATACAAAATCAGTTAATCACTCATAAATCAATTCCATGAATTAGAAAATAATAGTATGTCCACCCTAATTGCATTGTTAGCAAGTACAGCCCAATCGATCGATCGATCGTTGCATCGATCGCACAGTGCTTGGGCTTAATCTATTGCGATGAGATGCGAATCAAGAGCTCTACTGTTCATAATATTATTTACCCAACTATTGACGCCTGTAGAAATTACTGCGCACAATGAGGACGCCAAAAAGCAAGTTCCGAATGAATATGAAAAGTATCATCGAGACGATAGTTTGCTAGATAAACTATTAAGAATAATCATTGAGCCGATCACTGTGGCGGAAAAGGGGTCCGACAATGATTTCATATTTCGCGTCTTCAGTCTATTTGGCGATGTCATAACTGAGCTAGTTCAAGCTCTGGAACTGAATGTCACGCAATCAATTCGTCAGTTGGTCTTGCGAAATATTGAGCGAGCGAAGGGAGAGGTGGCTAGTGCTGCCGAAAATATTGAATGGGCATCCCAGGTTCTCAATAGTAGTCTTATCGATCGTACATACGATGCACATCAATGGCATAGAAAGGTCAGCGAGAAGCAACGCCTTGTTGATAAGCTGCGGCTCTATAGAAGCGTCTGTCATCTGCTGGACGATTTGATTGCCTTAAGTTCCATGCAGCTCCGTAAATGCTGCGATGTCACCGTGAAGCCGGTAATTACGTTCTGTCGAAGTTTTCGTATTCTACTGGCCAATGGCTCCAGTTATATGGCTAATGTGGCTCGTGTACTGAATCATCTTAATTTTTGTTTGGAAAATAATTCATCTCATTTGGAATACACGACGCGATGTATTGATTTTCTTAGTGACGAGATCTCAAATCTCATTCAAGGCTTCGAGAATTTAATTAGCAAACTCCTAAAACTATTGCACCTGAAAATTTTATACTCCAAATGTTGTATTTCATTGGCCCTGGTCGAAGAAATGGAATATAATAAAAATGTCATCCCAACATCCTAAAAGATTTTTGTTTTATTTAAGTGAACTAACACAAGTTGACAACAGTAAGACGGGAAGGATGTCTACAAAATATCATTAAAATTGTCTATATCTATGCAGCAGTATTAACTTAGTATTTAAGTAAAACGAAGCTTTAGTGCTCGCAGCAGCAAAGCGTTTTCCCATTGATCAATTAAAGCTCGACTTCAGCGACCCCTACCTGACGCCGGGCTCAACATTTAAATGCGAGGAAGACTTTGAGTGAAATTCGTCCTATATAAAGGGCAGAAGCTGCAGTAATTCTTCAGTCGTCGAGGCCTGGTGGTGGTGGTCAGTCGTGCAGTGCAGTAAAGTGAAGTGAAGTGTGTGATTGTTCTGCTAAGCAGTAAAGACTCGGAGGAAATACAAAATGGAAATACGTAGAGGAAATACGTTGAGGAAATGTTTGTAAGAAATATTTGCACGAGATATTTAGAAGAAATAATTAGAGGAAATACAGAGAAAAATACTTTGAGGAATATAGGAAATACCTAGAAGAAATACTTTAGAAAAATACTTGCAAGAAATCACACATACGAATAGACGGACAGGCAGGCTGGGTTAAATCGACTCAGGTTGTGGATATATACTTGAAGTCTGCCACGCCTCCTTCAGCCTGTTCCATACATATATACCCATATTCAATAGGTTCAGGGTTCTTAATTTATTATTATTAAGATTTACGTTTAACTTGACGGGGCGTGAAAAAAGAAAAAATCTAATTATTTTTTTAGTATTTAATTATTCAAGACTTTGTAAAAAATAACAATATAACTTATTATATGTATATAAAAACAAAAATATATTAATATTCTGTTATGCTATAAAAACATTGCTTTAAACTTTTATGCATTTGGCTGCGTGGAAAGTCGAGCGGAATACAATTGTCCTGTGCTTTTACTCCAGTTGGCGCCGCCTCTTCAATGTGGTTTTGGCGTCGTTGTCGAAGGGCTGACACTCGTCCATTTTTCATTCTGAGGTCATAGAATATTTCGAGCTCCTCAATTTTGGTGAACAACATTTCGAAATCTTTTTCGGCATTTAGTAGAAATTTGCATCGGATTTCATAACTTCCCAAATAAAGACAGTTGAAAAGCCGTTGAATACGAAACTCGAGCTGTCGCATAACATATTTGCTCGTCAGCTCGGTCATGGCGAACACATCGAATGCCACGTTGAGGCCACGTCCGGCTGCGCACTTGAAGATTTGGTCGGAATAGTGCTTCAGGAACTCCATATACTCTTGACAGCAGCCTACGTCACCCTTAAAGTTCCAATTCTGCAGAACGAATCGCTGGACATCGGCGTAATATGTGAAGGTCTTTTGGGTAGCGAGTAAAATGTTCTGCGTATATTCTAGGGCTTCGTCAATGATCTCGGAAAACATGATGTGAAAGAATTCCATTTCTGCAAAATAATTAGTTAGAAGCATTTTGACTGGAATCGGCTGCGTCGATGGTATCTGTCGAAGCTGCAGCAATAGCGTATAGCTTGAGTTCTTCGCAAATTCGTAGGAAGTTTCGGAATCTCGTGCAAATATTCTAGCTGCATCAGCTGCTGCATAGAAGAACTCGGACAATTCGTGTAACTTTGTTCTCTGATGCTGTGTATTTAGCTGATTTTCATGTCCGAGCGAAAGAACATTTGACATAGTCAGATTTCTCTGAAGATGCTCTCTGAAGTTTCTCACTTGATTTTGAAAATCTAGCTTGGAGTTCTCCGCTGATCGCATCGCATCGTAAAATTGCATCGGTATATAGTCCCCCTTAATCGCCTGCGACCATTTGTCGTGTCTCGGAATGGGCCTGCCTATGTATTCACTTGATTTTATGGGCTGTAACGCGCCCACAATACATAACAGCCATAAAGCTAGATAGTTCCAGTGGAGGGTCATTTACTGCAGTGGGAGGATTGAGGAAATTTATATATTAATATTCAGTTATCAATTATATATAATTAAAATGAATTACTTCAACTTTTGTTCAGATATTGGCAACGTCTATTGACACAACACAAAACCAAATGACAGAATATATATGTGGATACAAATATAGAACATATATGCTGTAAGCAAAAGTATTAAAGATCTCTGGATCTAAATATAGCATATGTTTAAACTGAATCGAATTGAATGAATGAAAACATGAAAACCCAAAACAATGGCTATTAGCTTAGTCTAGTCTATATTATGAAATATAAGAATATTATTTATTCAATATTTTGACAACCATACTGAATTTTTTACAGAAACAACTTGAAAAATATTCAATTGCTATTATATGCACATTCAGTTTTATTTCTGTCGCTAAACTTAATTTCTAGATTCATTAGGCATACGAATTTATATAAAGCGCTGAAATCCTAAGCAACTGAAAACTGATTCATTTGACAATGATTTAATACTATATAATAAAATACTTGAGGATGAAACTAAACGTTCCCACTTCTCAGACTTATAGCCAGGATATTTAAAAGCTATTTATATATGTTTTATATCTTTATATGTACATATATGGATATACTTTCCGCCTACAGTTTGATTTAAACAAAGAAAAAAGCAAAAAAATAAACAATAAATACAATCATGAAGATTTTAAAATAAAAAGCGAATTAAACAAAACTGAATGTCTGGTTTCATACAAAAAAAAAAAAAATTAAATTTTGTTTCATTCACAAAACCCCAGGTGAAGGCAATAAAAAATAATGAAACTAGCTAATGAGCTAAAGAGTCTGGGTAAAGTTATTTTCAGAATAAAAGTAAACATAAACACAATTCTTAAACATCCCGAAGACTATATAAATGTGTGTTTCGAAATTCAGAAATGGTTCTGCGACTAGAGGTTGATCAGGAAAGAACATTACAATATCTATTGAGTCCGCAGTAATTGCATATAATTTTTATATCTACTGACACGAATTTATATGTAATTACCTGAGTTAAAAGTTCTTTGATAGACGGAATTATAGTGGTAAAATAAAAATAAAAAAGAGTTTACAAAGATATTTTTATACTCTTAACAAATTCCATCATTATTTAACGTATATATATTAACGAGTTTAATTTATATAGTTTTGTTTTTTTTTTCAGGAACTAGGAGAGACCCATTCTAAATGCAACTATGCGCACATACAAAATCACATTATGTCAGATTTGAATACTACGAAGGCAGCAATTCTTAGCGTCCCAGATCCGGCCAGAACTTTGGAAACTGTTGACCAGGCGAAAGAAAAGGAAGATGTTCAAGCACACGGTAAAGAAAAGGCTGCTAGCTATAGCTGTGATGATGATGACGACGATGTTATCATTGTTGAATTACTGCAAGGTTGTGAGCCCGAAAGACCCGAAACGACCAATACAAAGTCAACAATACTGTTGGACAATCAGTTAGAGAAAATGCATATTGAATCTGAAGATTTGAGTCGGGAATATTCCACTGATTATAAGAAGCCAAATATGCAATTTAACGGAGCCAAGGTGCATCAAAACAAAAGGCCTGCTAACGTTGGAAATCACGATACTGAAAGCACAAACAAAAACAATTTCGTAAAGGAAAGCACAGTTTCTCAGAGCATAACCGTACGCGTTGCAGAGTCTTCAGGGTCCAGAAATGAATCCGTTGAATCTTGTGGCTCCAAACAGGGGCCTCCCACTCTGCTTAAATCCCAGTCCCTGGACCTATACAATGAGGATTGTACGGGCTTGAATATTGATCAACAACACAATCGAATTCTTCCTAATATCACGGAACATCGGACTGCTGAGAGCCAATTGAAATCAAACGACGAGAATGGTGAGCAGGGTCAAGGTGACGGCTTGAACAGATCGACTGGAGAAATACGTCAGCGTCCAACACACCGCCCAAACATTGCGACAGCAGTGTTTCCAAGCACAGACTCTCGGCCAATTTATCCGAATGTTCCATATAGTCCATATGGCAGTCCCTTCGGAAGTCCTCGATCAGTACGGCGTAGACCTCCACTACGTGAATCCCGACGTATATCTATTGAGAAATCGGGAAGCTTCCTTCAACTAAATCAATACAAGCTTTTGGATCAAATAGGACAGGTATTTGACATCTAAGTTGTTGACAAAATGATTGCTTAAAATAGTTTTGATTGGCAGGGTTCATACGGTCTTGTGAAGCTGGCTTATTCTGAAGAGGATTCGACACATTACGCTATGAAGATTCTCTCCAAGAAGCGTCTGTTGCGACAAGCCGCGTTCATGCGTCGCGGTCCGAAGCAAGCAACATCTCCGCTGGATCGGGTTTATAGAGAAATCGCAGTGTTAAAGAAACTCGATCATCCAAATGTTGTTAAGCTAGTGGAAGTGCTGGATGATCCAATGGAGGATTCGCTTTATATGGTTTTTGAGCTGGTTAAAAAGGGTGAAGTTCTTTCCATACCCACGGACAAACCATTGTCAGAGGAGCGTGCACTGAGTGTGTTTCGAGACTGTTTACTAGGACTAGAATATTGTAAGTATGGGGACCCGGTGGTACCTCTGGGTGTGCTCTAATCTCTTGTCTATAGTGCACTATCAGAAGATTATCCATGCGGACATTAAACCTGGAAATTTGTTGTTGACCGAATGTGGACATGTCAAGATAGCTGATTTGGGAGTTTGCAATGAGTTTCTGGGAGAGGATGCTACAATGAGTAATGGAGCGACAGGTGGAACGCCAGCGTTTCGAGCACCTGAAACCCTTGTACTGGGCAAGGTCTGCAATTAGAAAAATATTATATCACAATGTGTTCAAATATGTTTTCCTTTAAAATAGAATGTGTACTGCGGTCGGGCAGCGGATATTTGGGCCTTGGGAGCAACATTATATTCCCTCGTTTATGGAAACGTTCCATTTATAGCTAACACTGTACCCTTGTTGTATGACAAAATACGAAACGATCCAGTTGTATTTCCAGGACAGCCGAAAATCAGCGACGAATTGCAAGACTGCATTTTGCGCATGCTTGAAAAGGATCCAGCAAACCGAATAACTTTGCCACAATTAAAGGTAGACCCAGAGCACTGGTAAAGAGAAATATATATGTGTTAAAACTGTATTCTTAGATGCATCCGTGGGTGACTAATAACGGATCTTATGTCTGTCCAACTGAAGACGAAAACTGTTGCCTGGTACAAGTGGATGATGAAGATATTAATTCTGTTGTGCGCAGTATTCCAAAGCTTGATACGCTTATCTTAATCAAAACGATGCTCAAAAATCACTCCTTTGTAAACCCCTTTATGAGGGGCATCTCCGGAAGGGCACCCCAGCCAGGCGGTTCCAGGCTTGAGAAGTTTGTCAAAGCTGGTAGATCCAATTCAGCACCTGGGTCGTATCACATACCATTGGACCGGTAAAACACGTACAATTTTATTTATTTCTCTTTTTAAAATAATTTCTATATTTGATTACAGGGAGCCATCGATGGATAACGTACTTCCGTCGCTGACTGAACATTGTTCTAGTCAAAAAAATGAAGAAACTTAATCAAATGCGAAAAATGTTAATCAAATAGCCAATGATATTAATAATACCAGGGACCGAAAAACACATTTAATTATATGCACATTTTTAGCTACAAAATATAATTAGGGAAAATTGTTTAATCATACATAAAATGCACAAAGCGAGTTTCTTGATGAGCAATACATTATGCCCTTCATAGGGTATAATGGGTTTGTCATGTGTAAGGCATTAATGGTACAAATACGTACTACTACATGTATAATATACATTATCGATCACTTTGGCTCGATTCGGCTTTTTATTGCAGGCAATAAATCTGTATAGAAAGTTAAGTAATTGCATTGAACCATCATTGTATAATTAGAAACATATCTCGCACACACCCGATGCCTGCAAGCATTGATAATACTAATATATATTTTAAATCCTATGTTAGCTATTAATTGAAAATAGTTATTACGTCTTCTGCAAATATTATTTGTCTACTAACTTCTGGCTCGGTAGGCTCTGTTAAGTTTTGTTATCTCAATTTATAAATTAAGGGTTTTTTTTTGCAGGCTTCAGGAGTTTAAATGTATTACGGAACCAATTGTTTTGTTTTGTCAATATATATATTTCTAGTGCCTTCGTCCATCCTCTCTTGTAAATTAATTACAAATTGTTGTTATTGAATATATATACATGTACTTCGTATAGTTAATATATATAATATCCAGTCTAATCAAATCTAACCAGGTAAAAACAAAAATTATTGTTTCTGTGTGATATTGTATGCGGTCTTAAATCTAAAAATCAACTAAGTTAAAAAAAAAAAAAACAAAATTGGTTAAATAGACTTAATTTATATATTCCTAACATTTACTGTCGTTGATATCTTTATAATGCATTATAATTATGTTTAAGAAATTTGTCAAAGTCCTTAATTCAAAGAGCAGTTTTAACTGTATTATAAAATTTTGTTGTATGATTAAATATATAATTTTAAATTTATTTCGAATTTATAACCCTATAAGTTTTCATCTATATAAGGACTGCACCAAATTTGTTCAAAAATGCTATGAAAACACAAAACCATAAGTTATTAAGATATATATCGAAATATACAGAATCCTTTGAGTTTTGCCATTTCTGTCATAACAAAATTGTAGAAATTTAATCAAACTAATTTTGTTATTTCCAAACCTGTTTAAAAATAGTAAAAACTTTTCTTTTTTTCACATGCTCAAATGCTGACATTAGAAAGCATGCCTAAATTTGAATTGTGATATTTTTAGTATAACTTAGGAACTATCTGAATTGTATCAGATCGCTGTAGAGTCCATATACTGGGATGATATTACATGACCTATTTATAAAAATAAAGGATGAATAGATTTCAAAGAATCAGATATCAGTAGTTAAGTTTATTATATTGAATTATTCTTTATAAAAATGCATTTAATCAAAGCCCATATTTAACTCTCTGAAAAGCGACTATTGTCAAATATAAAATTACAAATGTACATTTAAAAACATTGATATGCACTGCAAAAAAAAAAACATTTGCTTGAACCAACATTTGTAATTAAATTAATCAAATTAAATTAATATTTATAAAGGAAATAGGCAGTAAAGAAAAGAAAATAATCACTAATAACAAAAAGTTCAATACAATTTGCTTATGAAAATACAAGTTTAAATATTTAAATTTACTTAAATTAATATGATATATACGATGCTTGCTTTACGCATTGATCGCTTTATCCGTTCAAAATATATTTCCATTCAAAAAAGCTTTGATATAATCATCTTGTCAAGTAATTAAGATCGAACGGGTTTTCTCTTAATTATTACTTAAAATATTGCATTCAAAATAGTGTAGAATAATTTATATCAAAATCAAACTGCTACTCAACGGTTGCGAATGTTTTTACAATAATTCCCATTAATTTATTGGCTAATAATATTATTATGCTTATGTAATTTGAGTTCGTACTTGTTGGAAAGTCAGGAAAATCTTTAATTTTGTTTTCTAAAATTAAGAAACTGAAAAGCTTTAGACTCTGTAATTAAGTTATACCAATTTTAAGATAAATTTCCAGATAAGTCTATGAATGTTGTGATGTCTCAGCCAAAGGTCCAACGGGCAATGTCACCT